TACTAATAAAATCTGTTCCAGACTGAGTTTCCACAACCGATGATATTTCCCTAATTCTATCCTGCTATTCCAAAATTCCAGTCACAACAAAGTTCGAAAGAAGAGTATTCACATTCGTGCAGAGGTCTAATTAAGGCTAAAGAAGTGTGTGTGAATACACTACAGGACAGAGAGCTTACATTGCAAGATTTAATCTTCCACTGCAACTGATCATGCAAGTGCTACATACAAATGAAAAAAGTATACATTTAAGATTGTTCACTGTGTAGATTTTGAAGGAAGAATGTAGTGAAAGAAGTTACCTTGATGCCACTGGATATAGCAGTAGCATTTGCAACACGAGGCCAAACTCCATACTCAGCTAATAAACCAAGCAATGACGTCATGAAAATATACCTCTCATCTTCTGTAACCTGAAGATAGAAAGTAAGAGAGAAGTCAGCACAGACTGAAGATATACAAAACTCTTTGAAGTTAGTACTATTAAATTTGAGGCAAGCCAATTTTCACCTTTAAATCATGTGCCAGTTTCAAGTTTTCTTCAAGATCACCTTTCCTACGAGCCAATTCATTCAAAGCCGACGTAACAGATTCATTTTGTTTCTCATCAATCGCCTAAAAGGAATAAGAAGCAACGATTTAGTCAAACCCCAGAAGCCAAGGATGTAAACTTTCTACAAAATCCAAAAGACTAACCACTCGGAGATCAGCACATTTTCTCTCTAACCCATACTTCTCATTAAGCAGCTGCATATCCTGTAATCAAAAGCTACAATTCACTCTCTGATTTAAGCATTCATATGATATGAGCTTTGATGTGTTTATTATCAAATACCTTCAAACAAGCAGCAGCAATTTGTTCCTGGAGATTGTGAATCTCTTCTTCCTGCGATCTCGCTTTTGAGTATAGTGCCTGGTTTTACAAAGCTTAATAGTTTCAGTAAAGAGAGCTCCAATAAGATTTTCTCAAAAATTAAGATTCTCGGTATCAGTACCATTTCCTCAGGATCCTGGATTAACTTAGCATTAGTCTCTTTGTCAGTCTCATGCCTACAGAGAGAGAGAGAGAGAGAGAGAGACAGATAGCGAACAATCACTAAACATATGCTTAAAAACTCAAACGACTCTTTCTGGGTTTAACACACAATAAAGGAAACGATAATACCTCTTGATTGGATCAGAGCTCCGATTGTCATTCATCGTGTTTAATACGCTCTTTAACGAAGATCGAATTTAAGAACATCGGAATTTGCTAAATCGATGGTTTTGAGTTTTTTTGTCTGTCGATCTATCAGAAAGCTATCAACAAATGAATTTTCCTCCCCCAAACCAAAACCAAAGATAAAATTTATAAAAAGCCCCTCAAACTAAACATTATTTTCACGTTTAGCCCATACTTATAATTAATTTATATCTGATTACCGGTTAGGAAAATGTTCGATTACATAATTCATTGGTTTGCTAAACCGCTCGGTACAAGATTTTAATTACCCAAAAGCCGATTCGCCGATCTAGAAGACGACGACCAAAAATTCTCCGATCGCGTAGGAACGGCGAACGGTCCTCCGATTCTCTCTCTCTCTCTCTCTCCTCTCAAGAGTCAAGAGTGATTGCTCCGTCTCGGAAATGTCGCAGCAAATCAGCGGTAATAGTATCCCGCTGAGTGAAGTTTACTGGTCTCTCGTTAACAAAGCCGATAAGAAGTTCTCCAAGATCAGAGACTTGCCCTTCTATGAACGAAGCAGGTACTTCTTCTCTTTCGATTAGCTTTCGATCCCACTGAGAAAACCTGTGAAATTTGTGTATTCCGATTTCGTCATTTCTGTTCCTCGTCTCTATTGTACCTTTGATTTCATGAAAATTGTTAGGCTGGAATGAGAAATGTACATGTAATTGTGGATTTGAGAATTGTTGGACATTGCTTTGGGTAGGTAACGAGAAATGAGAATGAATCAAATAATTGAACAGAGTTCCGAATCGTTGTTCATGGAAATGACGATTTCTGTTTCTTAGGTATGAAAACTACTTCTTCAAGGTATTCAAGGTTTACACACAGCTATGGAAGTTCCAGCAAGAGAATCGGCAGAAGCTTGTAGAAGCTGGGCTTAAGAGATGGGAGATTGGAGAAATCGCGTCTCGGATTGCACAGCTCTACTATGGACACTACATGCGAACAAGCGATTCCGGTTACTTATCCGAGTCCTATGTATTCTACGAAGCAATACTCACGAGGGAGTACTTCAAAGAGGGACTGTTTCAGGATCTCAATATTGCAAACAAGCAGCTAAGGTTTCTTGCGAGGTTTCTTATGGTTTGTTTGGTCCTTGGCCGTCGAGAGATGGTGCATCAACTCGTCGAGCAGTTTAAACGGTTGATAGATGAATGCAAAAGAACATTCCAGGTTTGATTCTGCAAAACCATCATAGATCGCCCATTTTTCCTCATGGTCTAGCGCATAAACAGCTTTTCATGTTTTTCAGGAAACTGATTTTAAAGAATGGAAGGTGGTGGCGCAGGAAATAGTTAGATTTCTGAAATCTGACACTGCTTTTATGAACATCAGGCCTCTAAGATACAGTCTTGTGTTGGATCCTAATCTGGATGCTGGTACACCGCGTGCAAGTAGGTCTTTAAGGTTGACAGATGCAATCTTGAGCAGCTATCACTGCAATGAGGTAGCGTTTTTACTTGTTCATGTTTGGTATGCAATGCCTGTTTAGTTTTCTTACCTTCTAAAAATTTGCAATCTTGCTGTATGATTTCCACCAGGTCAAGTATTCAGAGCTCACACTTGATTCGTTTAGGATGCTTCAATGCCTAGAGTGGGAGCCGAGCGGTTCACTGTATCAGTCAACTGTTCCTAAATTGGGTCAGAATGCTCCCACTGGAGTTGCTCGTATTAACTCACAGAACATGACTGATCCTACTTTGCCGCCTAACCCTCGCAAAGCTGTCCTTTATCGACCATCCATAACACATTACTTGGCTGTAAGCTGTACATTTTCCTCAAATATATGTGCGATTTTTGCTTATATAACTGAATCCATTGCCTTTTGGGAGTATTGTTTGGTTAACCCTGTTTTAACCTTGGTAGGTTTTGGCAACCATCTGTGAGGAGCTTCCTTCTAATGGCATACTATTATTATATCTGTCTGCTTCTGGTAATGTGTGTATTTAATATTATGCTTCTTCTGTTTAGAACATTGAGTACCTTAGCTTCTAACATTTACGTTTCATTCAGGAAAGATTGGACAGACTTCATTATCTTCTTTGAGTGCTAGAAGTGTAACCGGCATTGAGGAGAATATTTTGAGAGACTTTGAATATCACACAATCAAACAAGAGAGAGACCCATCTCTTCAAATAACGCCATCTGGTGACAGAACTGGTCAGACTCTGAGGCAAACCAGTGAGGACGCATGTGGTTTGTCTTTCGGCAGTCATGGGCTCACAGGTACCACTCCAGATTTTTTGAAACTTTCATGAAGACAACTATCTAATATTATCACACTAGGTGATATGCATGTAGTAGGTTGATTCTATAAAGTGTGCCCACTTAGTGATAAATAGCAATGTTAGGAAAATGTGATATACGGATATGTTGTAGAGAGGTTTCACACACGAGGAGAAAAACTCTGAAATCTGCAGAAATTTATAAATCTCTGTTCATGGAAAGAAGGGAAATGTAGGTTTTGCTATTTTTCGAAGTCTCTGAATTTTATCTGAAAACTGTCTCTCCCCCAGGATCAAGCTACATCTATCCCTCTGATTTAGTTCCATTCACAAGGAAACCTCTTTTCCTAATCATTGACAGTGATAACAGCACAGTTTTTAAAGTAAGTACATCCGACTCCATCTTTCATATGTTAAGATCCATTTTGGGAGATATTTATGTTTTTTTTTCACTGAAATTGTGAAGAGTATATGTGGAGCGGAGAAAGGAGAACCAGCCGCATTGCTTCTGTCTCCATCACATACGCCTCCACTTGTCTCTGCTGATTTCTCTCGTCAACCTAGTGGTAGCTTTTTCACCATTTTTCTCACCGCACCTGTCCAAGCATTTTGCTTGCTAATTGGGATTTCCGGCTCTGATATGGAAACGGTAGGTACAGATAAGAGTTTCATCCCTCGCTTGATACTTCTTTTTTTTCTCTTCCTTTTGTTTGCGTGCTGACTAGACTACTGTCATGTGTCAGGATGTTTTTATTAAGGCCGAGAAGCTTCTTTCCTCGTTTATGAACGAATGGGCTTCAACTTTAGCTGCATCAGATACCCTTCACCCCGTTTGGTCGCAGATACTAAAAGATCCCTTCTTGAGACGACTTCTCCTAAGGTAAACATTGTGTAGGAACCATAAACATTGTTGATTGAGTCTGTGGAAGAATCTTGAACTCTTTTATCTTTATCTAGCTGCGGTTTCAGATTTTGTATCCCTTTGTCTGCAGATTCATATTCTGCAGGGCTGTCTTATCACTGTACACTGCAGTCTTCAATAACAAACAAAATCAGCCAGAGTGCTTTCCGTCTCTCCCGGAAACGCTAGCACCAACCGCTCCTGCCGTTCAAACCGCTGTGCTTCAGATGGCCATTGTATTTGGGGCGACAAGTAAATTTACTTTACCTCAAGATGTCACAATGCTCTAAGAAACTTCCTCTGCTGACGAGTAGAAACATCGATCAGAAAAATTCTTGTGTAAATCGGGGAATCTCGGTTTGGTTTCCCTTAAGGGGTTACCTATTATTTCAGATTTGGACTCGTTACCTTTTTAAAAGATTTATATGATTCAATAACATTTTGCTGTATGGAATTTTACAAAGTGTTTGTTTTGATGCAGAACATGTGATTATTGGCTCTGATGCATCATCTTCATTTATAACAAAATATCTTGCCTTTTTCCTTTTTAAAATTGATTCAACTTTAAAACTCTTGACGAAAATTAACAAGAAGTGATCAAATGTGATGAAGCAAGAATAACCATGATTTACATCAAGGAAACTATTCACCACCGGTCTTTGCAGCTACAAGTTCCGTCTTTAAAAAGATGGAACCGATTAGCATCCCGCACCAATATCTCACGTCCCACCATCTTCGATATCATCTTCGTGACTTCATGACAATCACCACAGACACGAAGGTTCTTCATCACCTGCAATGGCGTCCCTGCTTCTGTGTTCAACAGTCCAAACGCAATCGCTAGCCTCTCACTGTGCCCACAGACTAACCGTCTCTTCTCTTCCTCTTCCTCCACATTCTGAGACACTTCCCTTGGATCCGGAACGTACCCTTCTTTAGCCATCAGACTGTAAAGCACCTCCAGTGACTTATGAATGGCTTCACACTGAGGACCTGAATCATCTCCTGCACGGAACACATGAACTCTTTTACTGATCTCAATCCAGCTATATCCCGGATTCTTCTTCATCTGTTTATCTTTCAATGATTTGCGGATTAGGCTCACTTTGTCCCATTTTCTCAAGGCTGCATAAGCGTTTGACGCTAGAATCGAGTAACCCGGATCATCCGGGTTCAGTTCAATGATCCTCTTAGACACTCTCTCTGCAGTCTCCATATCCCCACTTGTTCTACAAGCTCTTAGCAGAGACGCCCATATGCTAGCATCAGGCTTTATCGGCATCGCTTGGATAAACTCTTCAGCTTTCGAAATCTTCTGCGACCGAGACAACAAATCAACCACACACGCATAGTGCTCCATCATCGGCTCGATGTTGTACCGAGTTTTCATCTTCTCGAAGCAAGCCAAGCCTTCTTCTACCAAACCAGAGTGGCTGCAAGCATAGATGATGGCAATGAAGACAACACTATCAGCAACAATACCGGATTCTTCCATAGCTGCAAAAGCTTCAAGCGCTTTCTCACCCTCGCCGTACATTCCATACGCATAGATCATCGCTGTCCATGTCACCACATCTCTTCTACTCATATGTGCAAAGACTCTAGTGGAACTCTCCAAAGAGCCACACTTTGAGTACATTTCGATTAGTGCGTTTCCTATCGGCAACTCCGAGTCATATCCAAACCTTAAAAGACAACAGTGGACCTCCTTGCCTAGTCGTTTAGCAGCAAGCGAGGCACACATGGGCAATACAGCTAAAAAAGTCGCCATGTCAGGCACAGCTCCGCTGTTCCTCATTTCAGTAGCTACCTGCAAACCGGTGGCGAAATCCCCAAAACGAACACACGCTGATATAACCGTGTTCCATGTTACCGTATCCCGAGTTTCCATACCATTGAATATCTTCAGAGACTCTCCTACTTCCCCGAACTTAGCATACATATCAATCAAAGCGTTACTAACAGAAAGATCAGAATAAATTCCAGATTTTGTCACATTGGACTGTAGCAATCTCCCAAATTCCAAGTCTGATAAACGAGTGGAGAGAGATATAAGCATCAAGTAAGTGATGTGATCCGCCTTCTCTTCCATGGTCATCATCATCTTAAAGAGCTTCATGGCTTCCAAAAGATCTCCGCTTTGTATATATCCATTGATCACCGAGTTCCAAGAAACAGTATCCTTACAACATCCCATGTTCTTGAATACATCTCTTGCAGCGATCATGTCACCACACTTTGCATACACGTCGATTAGAATGTTACTCGCAGTAGTTTCAACCACAACCCCAGCTCTCACCATATATTCATGAACGTACTTCGCCAAACGCAAGTCTTTTAACTGTCCACAAGCACGGAGAACAGAAACAACTGTTAACATATCAGGCTTGAAACGATCTAAATTCTCCACAAACATCCTCACAGGCTCTTCAAGCATTTCCAAGTTGAGATATCCACAGATTACAGTATTGTAACTAACGGAATCACGAACCACCATCTCGTCAAAAACTCTTCTTGCATCCTCCGGTTTGCTAAACTTCAAGTACATTGCAAGTAGTCCGTTGTTAACCACCACGACGGAATCAACACCTGACTTGAGAGCAAAGCCATGAAGCCCCTGACCTTCTTTGACAACCAGCAAATTCCCAAAAGCAGGCAAAACGCTTGAAACCGTGAAGGAATCTGGCACAATCCAAGAACTTCTCAGCTCGTGATAAAGCTCCAAGGCTTCCTCGTAGTAACCATGGGAGCTAAACCCGGAAATCAAACTGTTCCAGGAGACGAGATCTCTCACAGGCATTTCGTCGAACACTTGTCGTGCTCTACCCAACAATCCCATTCTCGAGTACATATCCACAAGCGCATTGCCTACGTATAGATCAGATTCGAAACCTAGTTCCAGTATCTGTTTATAGACGAGATTCGCCATCTCTGAATCGAGCAAACCCGCACAGGCTTTGACGACGGGAGGGAACGTGTACTTATCAGGGGAAACATTGGATTCCCGGAGATTCTTATAAAATTCGAGGGCTTTAGGGAAGAGACCGTTCTGAGAAAGCGCTCTGATGATTGAGTTCCAGAGGTAGACATTTTTCGCCGGAGAAACTCGCCGGAAAACAGAGAGGGAAGAGGCGGGTTCCTTGAGGTGGGAGTATTTGTCGATAAGCTTGCCGGAGAAGAAGTCGGAGCCGTCAAGGCCTAGAGCGATAACGAGAGCGTGGATTCGACGAAGGTCTTTGAGGTTAGATGACGATGAAAGAGCTTTCGTGATGAAAGCCGATGACACTCTTGACTGCATAACACCATTGATTGAGCTTTATGTCGTCCTACTCTTCTTCATTAATTTATAGTCTCCGTAAAATTTAAAATCTTATTTTTTAATTTTCAGGGAAATAGTTTACCGCTAAAAGTAAATCTTATTTTATTTTCAGAAATAAGTTTACCACTAAAAGTAGTAAAACAAAAAAAGGAAATCGCGAATTGAAATCGTTCAGTCTCATAGTTTAGAAAAGGAAAACCAAATAATTAGGAAATCAATCGCTATATATTTGATAGATCATCACCAAACTGAAAAACATTTAAAAACAAAAGTCTTTGTGAATTAGGGTTGTTTACTTGGCTAGCTTTCCTCACACGGAAGGCAGGTTTGGCCTTAATTTGTGTGATTCGTATTTGTGAACACGAAACTTGATTTTATTATACGGTTTTTGCTTTCCCATCTAGTTGTTTGAACAATCTTCAGTATGAGGAGAAGTATCAAAAGGAACAAGAGAAACATTAGCGACTTGCCTGACGATTTATTGCTGAAAATTTGGTCGTTGCTTCCGGCAAAAGATGCTGTGGCAACGAGTGTCTTGTCTAAACGATGGCACTTTCTTTGGAAACAGCAAGATGTTGATTACGTAGAGCTTTGTTTTGAATGCTCTATCCTCTGGGTAGATTTAATACTACACTATTCCCCTACGCCTACTCGAGGAACACCGCCGGCCTTTCCCTGTACGCGAATTATCACCGACTTGGCTGATCTCTACAGAGATCCCCCACCTCCACCCCCGCGCCCACCCCCGCCCCCGAAATTGCCTTTAGTTAGTTTGATGTGTCGTCTCAAAGCTAAAGCGTGTATCGAGTGTAGGAAAAGAACAAACGCAGATAAAAGGTTTACGATTTTCATCTTTCACGGAGGGAGGGAATTGCCGACAGACGTATTTACATGGACCAAAGAGAAACATGAGATGGAGATTGCGTTCACTATCTGTGGGAGGACTACAATAAAGTATTGTCTCTCACTCAATGATCGTTTTGTGATTTAATAATATAAACTCTTCTTTCTCCTCTTTCAAGCTGTCAATTTTCATTCTAGTTCAACGTGTGATTATTTTGTGATTTAATAAATCCCGTTGTTTTGGCTTTTAGTTCCATACTTTAAAAATGTTGACCAAATTACACCATGTATTATTATTGTATATGTATATATGTCAATACAAATGCAACAACATCTCACTTTATCGAATTACCAAATGATGATTCTCAAACACAAAAAAAAAGAAACGAATCCATTTACTTAACTTTGAATCCCAAATTTGGGTATCCGAAAAGCACTATATAATCAACATACACTAACACAATCGGATATAAGTCTACACACTAAATATGCTCTTGTCAATAAGCTAAACCATCACTAAACAATCAACGATGCAAGTCGCTAGTCACTATTCAAATATGCGGAGTCTATTTGCAAACGTTTACTTATTCAATAGTCATGTGGCACACAACCTCTCTTCTTCATCTTTTATAATACTCAGCTTCTGATGGAAGAGTCACTGCTTCTGCTTTAGTGGAGTTGTAAGAGAGAAACAAACAATGGCAGGTTAATTCGATCGGTTAACATTATTTACTCTTTCATTGACTCTGTTTCTTTCAAAGTTGTTAAATTGTGGATTGATGCTCTCAGTTAATACAACAGTTTAGGCCAAAAAGACATGTCTAAGGCCACTCCAGATCATGTTAGTTTAACTTCCTTTCCTTAAAATAACAATCTTTTGAAACGCCAACTACAACATTAGTGATCAATCCGCAACCTCAGAAAACAGAGGACCAAACCTAACATCTTCAAACGTCGATAAGATGAGTAAAGACCTTAGCATTTAAAAGTTGAGATGCAAAACTCCAAGAACAATCCAATAATCTATAGCATTCCAAGAAATGAACAATCTTCCACAAATGTGTTAAAACACACAGAATTTCAAATGTTGAGGAAACCACAATTCTGAAGAACAATTATTCCAGACTGAGATATAAATTCCAAATAAAAAAAAGTTTCATACTTTGTAGCGAAAATCCAAATCACGCAGCTAAATCCTTGGTCGTATCATCCTTGTTCCCATCTTTAATCCCCATCTTCATCTGCTCCGCTGCGAAGCACTTGGTGATCACATTGCAGAACAAATACACAAACTTGACCGAATCTCGAGCCGGCACCGGATACGTTATCTTCTCAAAGAACTCCAACGGCACAGTCGGATCCACAATCGCCACAACCGGAATCTGAAGCTTCGACGCCTCCAGTATCACCGAGCTCTTCCTCTCCGTATCAAACACCACGACGCAATCAGGCATCGTCGTCGGGCCGAAGCAGAGCTTCTTGTGCCTCGATCGGAACTTCTTAGGACTGTAGCTGTTGGTCAAAAACCCACCCATCTTCCACAGATTCATCGCGCGGTTGTGGTTATAAGAATCGCCTTGGATGCGACGGGAAGTGAGCTCGATGATCTCGTCGAAGAGGGGATTGGTGTTGACGAAGAAGATGTTGCCTCGCATGTGCGCGAGGTTCGCGACGAAATGGGCGGCGCTACGGAGGCAGATCAGGGTTTTGTCGGAGTCGATTATGGTCATCCCGTTGCGCGTCCCGTAGGCGTATTGCTTGAAATGGTGCTCGGCGGCGCGACGGCCGAGATGCGCGCCGGTGTTCAGAAGCTTCTGGATTACTGCCGCGTGGATCGTCATCCTTCGTCGGAAAAAGCTACCGGACGGCAGCGAGCGAGAGAGAGAGAGAGAGAGGTTTTAGGGTTTAAGAGGAATTCCCAGATTGAATCAGAGATCTGATGGAGAAGCTGAAAATGGATGCCGATGGATCTGGGGCCATCCGAATACGGGTCGGGTCGGGTATAACTCAATTACAAATGGGTAAACCAGAATTGTTAACCGGGTCGTAATTTCAACCTGCGCACACGTCGTTGACCAAAACCAAAGAAATTAAAATTGATTAATTTTATGGTAACGTAGAAGAAGAAGAAGAAATTAAGAAAATAAATAGAATTCCTGGTAATTCTGCCGTTGGCGGCGACAGTTTCAGATTCCGTGAGCTATTCTCTCGATTCTATGCTTTCTCTCGAAGGAAGCTCTCACCTTTCACTGAAGATCACGTTCCCTCTGTAAGAGAATCGATCAAACCTAATTCGAGATTTGTAATTTATGTTTCTTACGATTTGGATTCTGTTGATATTTCCTTATGAAGCTTTCCTGATTTGAGATTAAAAAGTCCAATCTGAGATTTTTTTGGGGGTTTTCAAACGATCCTGGTTTGTCTGAGAGTCTTTACGGATTCTCCATTGTGATTGCCATTAGGGTTTGTGACGGAGCTCTGTTTCATGTTCTGGAATTTTTAACGAATCAATGGTTGGTGACTTTGCGCAGATGCATCGGTGTGTAGTTTGCTAGATCGGAAAATTCCCCTTTTGAATTAGTCTCTCGTATTTTAGTTTGGCTTAGCTCTGTTTCGTTTTTGTCCACTTGATTTGATCTCTAAGAACGAATCTGCTCTGTGATCTTCTCTGGGTAATTAGGCTCGAACGTGCAAAAAAGTTGGCTTTTGTTCTTTCTGCTAGCAAAAGAGAGTCTCAAATTTTAAAGCTTTTTGTTTTTTGCTTGATCTGATTGCTGTTGTAATGCAGGGGCTTATTCGTTTGTATCTGTTGGTTTACAAGATGGCATCTGCGACACTAAGGAGGCGGCTTCATCATGGGGATGTTGATGGGAGAAAGTATGATCGTTATGATGAAACAGACTCTGAAACTTTAAGTGAACCTCTGTTGGGAAGTAGTAGTGATACTAGTAGAGATAAGTACAATGAGGTTAGTTAGTGTTTTCAATGCTTTTCTTCTCCGAATGGAGAGATGAGAACAACTCTTTGATATATAATATATATATATATATATTATCTGTGGTGTGTCTGTTAGGAGCGTTCTCTGGAGGATATTTGGGAAGAAGAACGGAAGAGGCAGCAAGTTCACTGGACGTTAATCTTTTCTCAGTTGATTGCACAATGGGCTCAGTGGATAGGTTTGGTTTTGTTCTCTTTGAAACTATCACTGCTTGGTTCTTTAGAAAGGGTGAATCATCACATTACAACTTGTTTCTTTGGTTTTGCAGCCAAAATTGTCTTTGGATCCGGCTCTCTTTTTGGGAGGTTTCTCTCTTTGCCTTCGTTTGGTCAATTAGGTTCTGGCGGGAGGCTTTTGCCACCACCTCTTAGTATGTTGCAGGTATATATGCCAAATGATATGCTTATGATGAATATCATTGATTAGCCTATACCACCATATCTTGAAAGCTCACATTTTCATGTTAGGCTCTTGGGTTTTAAGAACAAAGTCAAAATTTGTCTGTCACTGTTAGTTTGATGTTTGTTCTGTATTTTGTTACCTTTTGCTAGGAAGAGAGGCTGAGAAACATTAAGCGAAGGATAGAAATTCCGTTTGATGGATCTCGAATGGAGCATCAAGTAAGTCTTCTCACTGACTCTCTCTCTCTCTCTCTCTCTCTCATCGCTTAGTACTGTATAACAAAATTTCTGACTGAGATTCATAGGATGCACTAAGACAATTATGGAGGTTAGCTTATCCAGAGAGGGAAGTACCACCACTTAAATCCGAACTCTGGAAAGAGATGGGTTGGCAAGGAACAGACCCTTCCACAGATTTTCGGTACACAATAGTATATATCTTTAGTTGTGTGAATCTTCTTTAATCTCTACTCATTGTTGTACTGAAGATTGGTTTCATAAAACTGATGTTTGTAGAGGTGGAGGTTATATATCACTGGAGAATCTAATATTCTTTGCAAAGACTTATCCGGTTTGTGATGCTTCTCTGATTCACACCTCTACATAACTGATTTTACTATAAATGAACCATTTTAAAGAGAATCAATGCCAAAATTGCTGACTCTACATGATTTGCCATTTCATTATGACAGGAGTCATTTCAAAATTTGTTACATAAACAAGACGGAACAAGAGCCGAATGGGAATATCCTTTCGCAGTTGCTGGCATCAATATCTCTTTCATGTTGGCACAAATGTTAGATCTTCAATCAGGTAAAAAACAAAAAGAAATGCTCAAGAAACCAAGTAAAAGCTTTCATGATCTTTGCATTGTCTTGTGAAACGATGATTTCAAAGAGTCCAAATTTGTTTGTGTTGTCTCATCAGGTAAACCATCAACGATAGCCGGAATAAGGTTCTTGGGGTTTCTGGAAGAAGACGAAATGGCGTTTGACAACCTCTACTGTATAGCTTTCCGAATGATGGATGCACAATGGCTTGCCAAGCGAGCTTCTTACATGGAATTTAATGTAAAAAATGAGCTTTGTTTTACAGTTTTGGAATTTCCGGTTTGGTTAGTGTTAACCGGGTTTTTCAATTTTGGGCAGGACGTTCTGAAATCAACGAGGGCGCAATTGGAACGTGAGCTGGCGCTGGATGATGTTTCGAGCATCAGAGACTTGCCTGCTTTTAATCTCTTGTACAAATAATTTCCTCCTTAATTTTTTTATTTCACCTTCATTTTCCTAATAATTTGTACCTGTATTTATATATAATAATATGAAAAAGTGTTGTCTTTTTCAATGCGTGTGAGTTCAGAAAAAAAATAGAGAAGGTTATAAAATTAATATACTGAATATATTCAGGCTCTGTTTTTTGTTTTGTTTGGTTAACATCTCCTGACTCGTCGATTTGATCAAATTACTCTAAAAAGATAATCAAGCTTATTGATCTTGTAATCAATATAGCTACGAGAGTTACATTATTAGCCTGATGATTACTTTTTAGAAAGAAGTTATGTACTAAAGAGAGTGTCTCCTATATGTAATATGCACATGGAAACACTTGTCACTTGCTCTCATCATCCTCTCGTATAGGATTCGACTCTTCATGGGATGGTTTCAGGCTCCACACTTTCATACGTTCGCTTGTCTTTTTAACCTGTAAAATAACAAAGATTTTTAATATAAACATTTTTCTTCATTTTCTCAAGGAAGAATAACAAATTTAATTGCTTATACCTCTAGTTCCCAGTCAGTTTTGTAAATGATATAACACAACACCACTGTTTGGAGTGCAATTCCAGCCAACATTCCTGACCATAGTCCCTACAAATTCAGACAGTTCATCAATGTAACTAGTTTCTTATTATTTGATTGGTTTAAAAAAAGAATATTTAGTTATATGCAAAATTTGGAGTTTCGTACCTTAACACCAAGATGGAAAACATAAGTTAAGATGAGACCCAAAGGAATACCAACTGCATAATATGAAGCTAAGTTCACAACTGCCACTATACTTTGCATTCCTGCTCCAACTGCCACCCCTGTTATTTATCATTTTGTATCATTTTTAGTTTTATAAAATCGAAAAATAAATACTAGAGAGATGTGTAACAACCTGAGAGTATAGGTTGAATGCTGTTGAGTAAGATTGATACGGCAAGGATCATCGATAGATCATCCACTGCCTCCGAAACCTCTTTGCTATTTGAGAACAAATACGAAATCTGACCGCAGAATGCTAGACATAGAATCGAGAACAACACTCCCATCACTGTTGATACTGTGAGTATCACTTTTATCGAGAATCTTACTGCGGCTGCATCTCCTTTCCCCAGCTCGTTAGCCACTCGTACGCTACATTATATTTGCATAGAAGAACTCAAACTCGACCATTATTCAATTTGAATACTTTTAAGAAGTAAGGTTTTATAAAATGAGAGCATTACCAAGCCGCACCCAAGAATCCAAGACATATGTTGAGTTCCCATGTATATATGTATTGGCTACCAAAAAAACAAAGTTGGTCAAGTTCAGATAATTTAGCTTTTTTAATGAAATTTAGATTAATTGTAATATATGAACATGACTAGGAAAGGTTTGGCTTTACCATATTGAGAAAGCAGAGATTGCGGTATTCGCATCTTTTGTATAACCAGCCATTAAGACAAGTATGCTCATGTACCAATACTCTAAGCTGTTCCAAAATGGGAGAAAAATATTTAGCATAGGCACATAGCCAACATAACACCATTTAGCATATTAAAGCTGTTAAAAAAAAATTACTAAAAGAAAATAAATTTACCAAATCATGAGGCCTGAAGAAATGGATAGCTTAAGCATAGGAATTAGGTCAACAAAAGCCGCAGTGCTAAACCCGGTCCAAGTGAACCGACACCATCCTCCAAAAACGTACACAAACTCGGCCAATACCACAGCCCACGAACTCACGTTAAGCCCGAGGAGCGCACCACCAATCCCCATCCCCATAACACTCACACACCACCACGTGACCAAGAGGTCAAGAGCTAAGGACAAGGTAGAGAGAACGCCTACGACAGCGTTCCTCATTTGTGCTTGGAGGTACATTTGCATAGTCATTGTGAAAATTAAGCTATAAACATAAGGGACGATCCAAGGATATATCTCATCCACGGTTCTTGTGATCTCAACGTTTTGGCCTAATAGACGGAGAATGGGACCCGCAAAAATAATAAAAGGTAGGAACAAAGTGGTCACGGCTATGTCAACGATCCATGAACGTTGTAGATATATCCCCATTGTGTGGTATTGTTCTGCACCATATGCTTGCCCGCACAACGTCTCCGTCGCACTTGACATACCACCCTAAATATAACACCACAGGCTAAAAAAACTATATCTACTTAAAAAGTAACCAAAAAACAAAAATATTTAGACTAGATTGAGATTAGCAGTTTTTATACCATTAGACCGTAGAGAAAGCGGACGAATGTGCTTTGGAGGAGAGCATAAGCGGCTAGGCCCAGCTCAGAGGAGTGACCTATGAAGGCTTGAGCCACAATGATGCTCCCAAACGAAGTAATTCGGAACAAAGACGAAGGTAATGCTATTCTCCACATTTTCCTCACTTCACTCCAAACCTTCGTTCTCAAATAGAGACTCTCTCTACTATTATTGCTCTGACCTTTAGCATCTAATCCTACACGTAATAGCCTCTCCTCCATTTCTCCTTGAGTGCTCATTTTGTTTTTCTTCTTCTTTCGTTCTTTAACTCTAGTCTGAAATAATTAATGAAAAATAAATTACGTATAATCTGTAAAAAATGTTTAAACAAGTTCATAAATGGAATCATAGAATGTGTTTTTCAAGGAGGATGGAATACTAATCATCATTAAACAAGAGTAGATGAATTTACCAATCACACAATTTCTTTCTTTTTTTTGTGAAAGTGTTATTTCTCTTTTTTTTTCAATCCCTCTCCGATACAAAGTAATTTATGTCGAGGAAAAAAAATCAAGAAATGAGCTAATAACGTTTGTTTAAACTCATTTCTTGCTCGAAGATCCATGAAACACACACACTTCTGTTGTAAATAACCACCCCGAGTCTGTGAAGTATGGAGTAATTTTTAACCAAAAAAAAAAGTATTGAGTAATTAATTACCTTAGTTCAAGTGAAAAGTCTTGAAGTAAAGTAGACCAGATAAGAAGAGGCAGGCTCGGCGAAATCAACGATAGAAAATTTTCACAGAAAGTAATGAGGAAACTGAAACAAACTGGAAATCGAAATGTATACTTTCTCCTCTTTCTTTGAGAATATGTCAGAATATAACGGAAACGTCTGGATATCTATGGGCCTGTTCGGCAACATGACGCAGCGACCAGCGTTTGCGATTGAATTTGAATTTGTGATTTGTAAAGCAGAGAGATATAAATGCATATAGGTATATACGTATATATAGGAGAAATTGAATTTGTGATTCTCGTTCTGTGTTTACACCACATAGGTTATGACGGTCATCGATATGTATATTTTTATATTCTTTTATTAGTCAGGAATATGGTACAGTAGAGTGCAATTATAGTAATTGAACTAAGAGATATGTCCACAAAAAAAGGTTGCAACAAATCTTCCTCTAATACTAGAGTATGCTTATGTGCACAGTTATTAAAAATATCTTTACTTATTACTAGCCAGTTTTCAAGATTAAATTGGATTTTTTATCATCTTGTAAATTTTGGGGACCAACAATATTCTTTGTTCGTGCGGGATGCAATCGAAACCGTCCGATCATTAGCTATTTTCCTGTCAGCACCGTTCGATCGTTAGTTATTAATGAATGATGATGCAATCGCACCAAAACTACGTCCCGTTTACTCAGGCAAAATATAGAGTGGGTGCTGTTTTCTGCGAATTTGGTTGTACAAGAGAAAAGGCGGGACCTACAGAGCCTCCACGTAGCACGTTATGCAAAAACGGAGACAAACCAATGATCGCAGTAAGCGACACGTAATACACATTCGACGCAAAAGCTTCCATGTGTATAATCTTCCCTTTGAAAATGCACTCTTGTTTGTCTCATTTTTCGAGAAATATTTTTTTTTCTTGAAACAACACTCTTTTACCAATGGTCCAACAAGTCCGTAAAATAATCGTTTAATGGAAAATTCAAGTTGTTATATATGTTTCTTGGCCAAAGTATCCATTTGTATTCCACTTGATAAATGGATGTGAAATATAATGAAGAGGCAAAATGGATACTTTGATGGTTGAAATATAATGTGTCAAGCTTTTATCTATTTATTTATATAGTTTTTGTTTATTTTATTATATTTTATCGAATCAAAATGCTTTATACTATTATAGCGTTTTTCTTTTCTTATGTCAACATATTTTTTGTCCATTTGTTCTTCACTTCTTGTTCAGATTAGTTTGATGGAAACTGTAGCTTTCAGACATAAATTGCAAAGACGGCGAAATTCATCTATGGAAATTTTTGAGCCTCTAGCCGTTCGTATATAAGACAAGGCACTAGTCGCCTTTCGCTTTGGCATATAACATCTCCAAGGCTATCATATGGGCAAAACAATGATTTCATACGAGAAAACATATTTCTGTTATTATGAAACAAGTATTTCATGATCTTGGAAATCAAATAACTTACAAGAGTTAACCCAAAATGACTAAAAGAGAAAGTTAATTAGAAACTAAAGATAAAATCAAGAAGAAAGGCGAGGGAGCGGGTTTAGCCAGCGTGGGAGCACGAACTGTGAAAAGTAGAGAAAGTGATTACCACCGCCGACTAAAGTGGCTTTGGTATAAGCTTTATAGACGGAGTCCATATACTCCTTGCAACCGCTAAGTCTCACCAAGCAACCATCCATAGATCTATATAATGATCCCTCCTTGAGAAGACCATACTTGCGATTGCTAAAGTTTAACAAGACGAGTGCGTCCTTGTCCCTACTCCACAGGTATATTACGTCGTGGTACAAAGGATGCATGACCACGGGGAAATAATCCACACCGAGCCCGACCAAAGACTCGCACGAGTTGGTGTTGAGTCTCCAGGACAGTCTCCACGAGGCGTTAGCATCATCATCACAGTACTTCTTCCCCAACCTCCAAACCATGATCGTACAGCCTCCATTATCATCGTTGAAAACGTTGCAGTACACAAGGAATCCTGCAGTGGTTGTGATTGTTCTCCTGAAACGTTCAAGTCCGGTCATACCAGGAAAAGGAATGACACGACACTCCTCGCCTCCCTTGTAGAAATCATAGCATGCAACATAATTCGAGTCCTGGTCGTTTTGAGACGCAGCAAGCCAGTGAAGAATCCCGTTCAGAGGAACCGAGTGCTCTAGTCTAGACCATATCATGGAATAGAGGCAACGCACCTTCTCTAGGGTTTCCCATAATCCTGTTTCAGAGGAATATACCAGAAAATCGACTTGTTTAGACACATTATGTGAGGGCAACACCCACACTACCTTGTACCCCACGACAACACCCTTCTCCATCTTCGTGACTAGTCCACTGTCGCTGAACACAATTCTTTTCTCCTGCAACCTCACCACATCATAACCTGAGAGATGCGGTGGGAGAGGGATTCGAACCCACTCTTGCAGCAACGGGTTTCCGACATGATACATTGGAGCTCCTTCCTCGGTTTCTGTGTAAAGCAGTACCAACCCATCCGCGCAGCTCAAGACCGAAGTTTTTCTCACTGTCGTCTCGGGGCTGTAGCGCATGAGCCAAGAGCCGAGAGAACTGGTCAGACCCCATCTCGAGCATCCGTGGTGTCCCACGATTTCCAGCGACAGTGTGGGGTTCTTGTTGTTCATGATCGACCACGACACGGACAGCCTCTTCAGAGACACGTAGAGATCTCGGAAGCAGTCCGAATCGATTATCGATTTCCATCCTTTGCACACTGATCTCAGTCTCGCGATGCCTCTCAATGGAAATCCAGCCAAGAAGATTTTCACCAACACTTCCTCTGGAAGAGCCTCTTCCAATTTTATTTTTTTCGTCTCCATTCCAGATTTTCAGTTTTAGGGCATCTCTTCAAAAGTTTCTTTTTATAGCATATTTAGATGATTTTTTTTTTTTTTTTTTTTGTTCGTCAGACAATGTGTTTAACTTTTTAGGTTAATCCTTATGAAGTTTTGTTTTTCCTTTAATATGTTTTAACTTTTCCTTTTATTTCCTAAAACTAATGGGAAATTACTTTTGTTATTATATTCAGACTTCAGGCTATATATATGTACAAAGCGAGACTTGGAATACTGTTTTAAGTTTTATAATTGGGAGCAGAGAAACCAAAGATACAAGGGAGAAAGAAAAGAGATATGGCTCAGGCTACAATTTATCAAAACAGAGATCAAGTGTCAAGCAGTTCATGGGAAGCTATTAAGTCTTCCAACATAGGGTTTCAGCTCCTAAAGAAGCAAGGCTGGAAGGAAGGCACTGGTCTTGGTATCGCTGAACAAGGTATACTGGTGCCTCTACAAACAAAGCCTAAATATAACAAACGAGGCCTGGGAGCTGGAGCTGGAGCTGAAACAACAACTACGAGAAAAGCGGCAAAGCCTCCTCAGGCTACAGATTCTGAAAAGGTCCCTAACAAAACCAAGAAACTATCTAAGCAGATGCGGAAGTTGATAGAGCACGAAAAATATCTGGAGGAAAAAGAATTTGATCGAGCCTTCTTTAGGGAGTTTTGGCCTGATAATGATGTATAAGATTCTTCTCTTTGATCTTCATGTTCCAAAAGGTTCTTACTTTGTGATCATAAATATATTAACTCTGTTTCTTATCCCATACCATTAGGTTAAAGATTCGGTTAAAAAAAATCTAAAATTTATGACTTGATTATAGGGCAACATGGTGGCTTAGCTTCCGAGTATTAATCACAAAATCTTTGACAAAAAGTTGTTTGATCTCGAGTCTCTCAATCCTCCTGTCAGCTCTAACCGCATGGCCATCCCAAAACCTGTAAAAGACGTTGCCTTGTGAAGTTATCATAACAAGAAGTTAAAAAAAAATTGGATAACAAAGAATAACAAAAACAGAGATTTTTACCTTTTGCTTTCATATACGTTGCCGAGAGATTTGTTGTTTTCTACTGGCTGCTACTGCTACTGCTACTAATATCTCATCTCTTGAACCTCTTTGTGTATGGAACTAAATAGAGCCGTTGTGATATACCGCTCGCCATGGCTCGGAAACAGAACCTGTTTTCATTAAAACCTCTTAAACCTGAAGAAACTAAAACCACTAGTGTAAAAGTTGAAACTCACCGTGATTAGTTTACCGGCATTCTCAGCTCTTTTAGCCAAGCTGATTGCTGCTACTGCAGCTGCTCCAGACGATATCCCTACCTAACGTTCATATATATATATATATATATATATATATATATCCCCAGCATATAAGTATTAACACAATCTTGTGTAGAGGAAAGAAGAGAGAAACAATAAGAGATTATCATCATACATACCAACAATCCTTCCTCCAAAGCTAGCCTCCTCGCCATCTCAATCGCTTCCTCGTTACTAACCTTGACCACTTCCTCAAGTAGCTTAACATCCAAGATCCCTGGTAAGTAACCTGACAAAACAAAACTTCAGTAAAGAGGATACCAAACTAAAAATCCCAATTTGGAGAACTTGAACACTCAAAGCTCCTTACCAGGACTGTCTCCAGAAATCACACTTCTCTCTGATGGTTCAACGCCAACTACCTAATTGTTTATAACGATGTTTAATCAAATCATATAAGGTTAAACCTGAAAACGAAAAGAAAAGAGAAAGACAAAAAAAAACCTTGATATCCTTGTTCATCATTTTCAAGAAGCTTCCAGTACCAGTCACAGTACCACCAGTTCCAATCCCAGCAACAAAGATATCAACATTACCCATTGTATCTTCCCATATCTCTGGTCCTGTAGTTTCAAAGTGGATCTTTACCAAAACCAAAACATCTTCATTATCCCACACAAATCCAAAACCTTTAACAAGAAAAAAAAGAATAAAAAAACTTCAATAAATCCAACACCTTTGTATTAGCCGCATTGTCGAATTGCTGAAACATGTATGCGTTTTTAGTTCTGAGAACAATCTCCTTGGCTTTATCAACTGCACCTTTGAGACCTTTCTCCGGACTCGTTAGCACAATCTCTGCTCCTAACGCACGTAAAAGCATCCTCCTTTCAACGTTTATAGAAGCTGGCATTGTCACTATCAGTTTGTAGCCTTTCGCTGCAGCCACAAAAGCAATCCCGAGACCAGTGTTTCCGGTTGTTGGTTCTACTAACACACTCTGCTTTTGAATATCACCGAATTAGCAAAATCTATCAAAACATCAAAATATAGAAAGACAAAGATGTGAAAGTAATAACCTTTCTTGGACTTATAGCTCCGCTGTCTTCTGCTTCGTTGATCATGCTCAAACCGATCCTGCATAAATCAAAATTACAATCAAGAGGAATTTACCATTGAGAAATCCACATGAGAGGACGAAGAATGTTTCTGACCTGTCTTTGACGCTTCTACAGGGCTCCATTGATTCGAGCTTTGCAGCAATGTCAGCCACACATCCGTTGGTGACTCTGTTCAGATACACCATTGGTGTGCTTCCAATCAACTATAATCCGAAATCGAAATCCAAAATTAACAAACTTTAACAATCATTCAATCAAAAAGGACTAATCTTTCGGGTGTTTGCTAATAAAGTTGAATCCTTTAAAACTAACTCACTTGAGTGACATCTTCAGCAATGTTGACTGGTTCTGACTCTTTGCTTCCTACTTCAAAATTGTCTTCCTTTTCAGCCGTAATAGTAACTGGAGGCGGAGGAGGAGGTTTCGGTTTGGGTTTCGATTTCGATTTGGTCCCGGTACTAGACTTTCCGGAGACTGCGCCGGCGATGAAGGAGGATGCCGGAGTTGTGGCTGTGAAAGATTCATGGTTAAAGGAGCAAAGTGAGGGTTTAGCAGTACTGAAGCGGTGTCGTTTTGGGGTTGTCACAAGGGAAGGGAATTGAGGAAGAAGTCGGAGCGAAGGAGACGAGAATGCCATTTTCCGTCGTCGGCGAGGTTTAAGGGATTAGGTTTCTGTTGTCTAAATTCAAAATTTTCCGCAAGAACAAAAAAAAAAAAGAAGTTGAGGATAAAATTGGATAAAAGTTCAATTATTGGGAGAGGATATGTTTACTGTATTTAAAAAATACTAATACAGATGCCATGTGACAAATATTTTAATCAAATAAGTATAGATTATTCATCTCTTATTAATTTTTATGTCGGTCCAACTAACTGAAATGAATGAATGAAATTAATAAGTTAACAAAATTGCAGCATCATTTGTAAATACATTAGAAACTATGAGATGTAAATTTAACCATGTATCTTATTCTCTAATACATACTGGAAACTGAATTAAGAATTTAAGATTACGTAACAAGGAAGAATTATCATTTTCTTACCGTCGTTTCTAGTTTCTACCATGGACAAGACAAGAGTAAGATATCAGGAATTTTAAAATATATTTTCAAGTCATTGGTCACACACGTCGTCTCTCCATTAACTCGCGAGGGCTTTAATCTTCGTCTCGAAGTATTTTTGATTGAATCACAATAAATAAACAATGATCTTTCATTAAATACTCCTTGTGATCACGATTCACGACGGCCCTTATAAATAGCCGAGCTCGATTGTCTCGTAAAACCATAAGAAAACACTAGCTGAAAAATGGCATTCAAAGTGATTCTCATTCTTGGTTTACTTCTCACCGTGGTAGCTTCTCCGGCCACCGTGGATGGTGGATCAGTGTGTCCAGAGAGTTCCTCGTTGGGTCGAGGAAGCTTTCCCGATGGTTTCTTGTTTGGTGCTGCCACTTCTGCTTTTCAGGTAATACCTTAATTCCGACTATCGAAATTAGATTCAAAAGTCAAACACTGTTGAGTAGCATATTTTCCGGCGATACTTAACCGTTTCATTGTTTCCGGTGAACGGTGACTTATGAAATTTCTTCATTTAACTACAATTAGGACTAGTAGCTTCGTAAGTGTGATGTGATCATGTGATTAACAAAAAAGCTCTAAAGAAATCGAATTTGGCATCTATAGTGAATTTAATGTTGAAAGCTTATAAGATAAAAATTGAACATTTTATCTCTTGTCACTAACTGTGGAGTTGACTAATCAGTCATTTTCAAGTTTATAAATTAATTTTAATGATTTTGGGGCCTAAGATCGGTTCTTTGATGCTTTAGTTTCACGATTTGACTTATTGTTAATCCTCTTATCGAGCCAGAGGTTTGCTGGATTCTGACCAAAAACTTTGTTTCTAATTTTGCTTGATATGTTTGTATAGCATGAAGGTGCACCGGAAGAAGGAGGCCGAGGTTTGAGCATTTGGGACTCATTCACTCATCAACATTCAGGTAACTCCTCTACTGATCAATCAGAAGATTTTTTTTTTTTTTTTTAATGTTCTTAGATGATTTCTGATTGTCTGTTTACACATGTTGAAATCTGCAGAAAAAAACAATAACCTTGATGGCAGGCTGGGAGTTGATTTCTATCATCATTACAAGGTATTTTGATACAAAATTTTCTGGAACATTTTCAACTATTGGAGACAAGTTTAAGTGTTATTTATGTCAATAAAAATTCTTCTATGAAAATTTTGCAGGAAGATGTTCAATTATTGAAAAAACTGAACATGGATGCCTTTAGGTTCTCTATTTCTTGGTCAAGACTCTTTCCCCGTAAGCCAAAAATCAATCTCTTTGGTTAATGATTCACTCTTATGCAACTATATGAAATGTAGTCCTTCACTCTCTAATCGATTTTCCTCAAAAACAATCAGATGGGAAGAAGGACAAGGGAGTGAGTGAAACCGGAGTAAAATTCTACAATGATCTTATCAAGGAGCTCATTGCAAATGGTCACTATTCCTTCTCCCAAATTATAAGTTCATATCAAAATCTCCTTTCTCTGGCTAAAAATCTCATTCTCTATTGGATTGTTTTGCAGGTGTAACGCCTTTGGTTACCTTGTTTCACTGGGATGTACCTCAAGCTCTCGAAGATGAATATGGCGGTTTCTTGAGTGACCGTATATTGTAAGTCCCCTTTAAGCCAAATACTAATTAATTTGTGTTAAATTAGTTAGGCACTGGACATAGATTTGTGTATGGATAGGGAGGATTTCCGGGAGTTTGCAAAGTTTGCTTTCAATGAATATGGAGACAGAGTAAAGCATTGGGTTACTATAAACGAGCCTTATGAGTTTAGCCTTGGTGGATACGGCACTGGAGAGAAAGCACCAGGAAGGTGTTCTAATTATGTCAATGACAAGTGTCATGCGGGTGACTCTGGACATGAAGTCTACATCGTTAGTCACAACTTGCTCTTGGCTCATGCTGAAGCTGTGCAAGAATTCAAGAATTGCGGAAAGGTAAAATCTCTAGAATCATTAACGCTTTTCATTTTCAAATTTTGGATTGTTCTAATGGTCCATGGATTCAAAATGTATAAACAGTGCAAAGATGGGAAGATTGGAATCGTTCAGAGTCCTATGTGGTTTGAACCTTACGATAAGTCGAATAATCCAGAGGAGATAGTGAAGAGAGCTATGGATTTTACCTTAGGCTGGTGAGTGAAAGAGTCTTGAGAGATATTAGTTTAAGTGGAAATTGAATTAGGTTTTGAGTTTGGATTGTGCTGTTTGCTTGTAGGCATATGGAACCAATAACACATGGGGATTACCCTCGGACCATGAAAGATGTTGTTGGTGTTCGGTTACCTTCGTTTACGCCAGAGCAGAAGGAGAAACTAAAGGGTTCTTGTGATTTTGTTGGTATCAACTACTTCACTTCTGCGTTTGTTGAGCTTGTGGACAATGTTGATCCACAGAAACCAAGTTGGGAAGCTGACTCTCGCTTGCAACTACATTGTATGTTCTGCTTCTTTAACCATTAATTTTTGTTTTTCCTTATTTATGTGATAATTAGTGTGATCTTCATTACTAATCTCTTTTTTTTTTTGTTATACTTGCAGCAATTAACCCTGATGGATATAAGATTGGTTCTCAGGTAATTTGTATATGCGTCATTTACACGATCATTTCTCTTTGACTTTGATGTTATTTTCTTAAGACTTTTTTTTATATATTGTTAATAATAATATTTCAGCCTGCTACTGCGAAGTATCCAATTTGTGCAGACGGGTTAAGAAAAGTTTTGAAATACGTCAAAGACAAGTATGAGAATCCAGAAATCATCGTCACCGGAAACGGTAAGCCCATTGATTGGCTCATTCCTCTCTGCTTTGAGAACTTGAGAGTGATCGATTTCCTTGCATTTTGGCAGGGTACAAGGAGACACTTGAAGAGAAAGATGTACTTCCTAATGCACTCAACGACAACAACAGGAAGTATTATCATATGAGACATCTCATGGCTTTACACGGAGCAGTCTGGTAAGTTCTTTTTTCATAGTTCAGAAAAAAGACTATGTTACTTCTTCTCTAGTTGATGGATATTGATGACAAAACAAAACCATTTCTTTCTTTCTTCTTGGTTTTTGGCAGCGAGGACAAGGTTAATGTTAAAGGTTACTTTGTGTGGTCGCTTATGGATGGACTAGAGTGGGAAGATGGTTACAAGACGAGGTCTGGACTGTACTATGTGGACTATGCACATGATTTGGGACGGCACCAGAAACAATCTGCCAAGTGGCTCTCAAAGCTCCTCGAGAAAGTCTCGGACACGATTCAGTCCAAGGTAGATTCCGAATCAAGGAAAGAGTTATAAACGATCGAGAAAAATAATAATATCTTTTGCACAACTCTGTTTGATAAATCGATCATCATATAGTGTAATACGTGCTTTTTATTTAAAAAGAGTGTAAGCCAGCAATCTAATAAATAACTTCTGTAACAAGTTTGTTTTTTATCTTAAAAAAAGAGTGTAACGTACGGTACGTTTTTTATCGTAGTTGTATATAACAAATTAAAAGGCAACTCGTGCCACACGTTTTTGATCTTAAAAATAACAAATTGCTTTTAGCTTCTATATCAAAGCTTCATGCTGGTCATTTTAAACCGAACTGAATTTGCTGTCTTAATCTCATCCGAATCCAATCAAAGTGAACCGAATTGAACGAAGTGTACACTAGACATATCACAAAAAACCATTCACATTTCACATGGCGTTGAATAGAAACCACGTACTATATTCATTACATTTCTATCTAAACCAAATTCCCATAATCTCATAAAGATCAACAAATAGTGTAACACCCTAATCTTCACTAAAACCAACAAAAGGCCTCGTAAACCTCTGAAACCTATGAACCTTCATCTTCATCATAGGAGCCTTCCTCGCCACAGCTTTCCAAATCATCTGAACTCCATAATCTCCGTCGTCATCTTTCGTCGGAAAACGCAAATCAAAATACCTCTCAACCTCCTTCAACCGCCGCCACATCTTGCTCCACTCTTCTCTCCCAATACTCCTCACAAGACCCATCAGAAACCCTTTCTTTAAAGCGTCTGAAGATCTCACAAAGACACAGAACTCATTGTAGTTGAGAACATCCTCGTACGGCAACTCAATGTCGTCGCTGATGATCACTGGAACACAGTGACTAGCTATTGCGTCGAAGAGACGGTTCGACGACGGAGTATCTCCGGCGATGTTGAGACAAAACTTCGACGATCTCATTCCTTCTCCGGCTTTAGCTATGCCGTGATTTCGTACGCTACCAAAAGAGAAGTGCACGTCTTTTTCTTCTTTTAGAAACTCATATAGTTCTTGTCTAACGAATCCTCCCTACAAGATTAAAAATCAAATCAAATAAATATATTATATTGTTCAAAATGATCTTTAGGTCAAAAAACGAGAAAAGGACTAAAAAGACATGAAGCTTTAACATATTTCAAATCTTACATTTTACACTAAAATAAGATAAGCAGAAGTGTCCTTACATCTTTGCGGTGGATGGCTCCTTGAAAGTAGAGCAAGATCGGACGGCCATCAAAGCCCGATGTGTCATTAGGGTACGAAGGAACAAGGTGTTTGTATGGAGCCACGACGTCTTTATCGACGTTGGCTACACGTGGCGAGTATCTACCAAAGTCAGCCACCACAAACATCGCCGGATACAGCTTATGCCTTGCCGTCGACATACTATTCGGATGGTGCGCCATTATCACATGATTCTTCCCTCCTGAGCTCTTCCACTCCTTTTGAGACGTCACAAACTTCACCACATTGTCCTATGAACAAAATTTATTTCAAGAATTCAAGATCAAGCTATTGGATGTTGATGGACATAAACACTAATGCGAAAACGTATTTTCTGTTTACAATTTGCCAAAAATGTTTAATATTAAGAAAATGATTTGTATTTAAAAACGTTTACGCAATGTTAAAAAATCAAAACTTTTTGAAGAGTTAATTTACCTGTAATTCTCTGTCTCGGCTCTTCTTCTGCTTTTCAGTAACCTTAGAGAAACGGTTATAGCTCAAGGAAGAGAAGAAGGGCACGAACACAACGTCAGCTTCACTCGAGTTCTTGACACGTACGGCGGCGCGTGAGCTTCGAGAATCTTCAGCAAACTCAGAGAACAAAAGATCTAACGTAAGCCAGTACTCAACACTGTGCTGCAAGTTAAGCCCACCTGGATGGTAAGGAACATTGACTCTGATGTCAGGCCAAACGACGTCGTCTCTCTCAGGTTCCCAACCCAATAACCCAAAGTGAAACTCTGGACTCATGTCATACATGTACACCTTCAACGGCGTCGGAGGAGAGTCCTTGTTTGTGCATCGAAGAGCTTCTTCGACTCTGTTTTCATTAACTGGTTCCTCTGTTTCTGTTGTTCCTCCTCTGTTTTCTTGGGGAGAATTGTTTGAGCTCGTGAAGATGTCGTTGAGAGGTGTGTCTGTGGATTCGTAAACGTGAGCTCGGTTAGGGTTTGTGGAATAAAGGATTAGGAACCAAGAGAGGACGGAGAGGATTGATATTATCAAGAAGATTAGAGATATTCCGAGATAACGTGGGTTTGATCTCTCAACCATCTCTAAGAGACTAAAACAAGAGATTGGAGAGAGATCTTGTCATAGAAACTAAGAAGAGATTAAAAGAATCATTAAATCAAGAATCGGAGATAATACGATGACCAGATTCGTAGAGGAAGAAAGATTGTGTAAATCAAAAACCTAGGAAAGAAAATCTTTGAAACAAAAAGAGATCTGGAAACAAACAAGATTTAGAAAGAAAGAGGAGTAGGAGAAATTTCCCGGAAAGAAGTAAGGAAGTGAGATTTATTAGAGTGATGAGAAATTTTTGTGGTAGATGAGAAACGATGAAAACGCCGATGAGAGAAGAGACAACACACAATCACACTCTTTGTTCTCTCTCTCTCTCTTCTCTCGCTTGTGAAGGAAGAAACTGAGTCGTCGACGTTGATCTTTAGACGCGGGGCAATTAAAACGATCTTAGGAATTTGTTTAGCAAAATTTTATACATTTTTGTTATATTAGAAAACACTACTAAGAAAAAGAAAAAACGTAAAATCTGTAATTAATATATTTAGAGTTTAATTTGGCAACAAGAGTAAAATCCCCCAAATGAAGTTGATAATTTTCGAAATTAGTAAGTTTTTGTGTAGACAGTTAATGGTAGTCATAATTTTAGTAAATGGTCAAAACGTTTTGAGTGGTTTAATTTTAAAGTTTTGACTCTATATAAAAGTTTAATGATCGTATGGAATTCTTTTATAAGGGTACTTTTCGTAAATATTCACAAAATTCTGCCATTTGTTACGTAATTAATATTGGTTTTAAAATATAATGTGGAATCATTTTCATTCTTAGTATTTTTCTTTTTAGAGTTTCCTTGCCTTCGTAGTTGTTCATAGGTAACGTAACGTCTGTAATTGCTTCTGTGTAATTAATCCTTTTTAAATTAGTCATCTAAATCAATCAACGAATAAAAATGTATTTCTCTGATGAAGGTTACATATAGTTCTGTAAATTTAATGTACAAATCACATCATCGGTTGGTCTGTCGACATTTACGTGGGATGAAACCTGACAGCTCCTTTTTTTTTAATTTAATTTTAACTATGTTGCGTGTGACCTAGTCAAAACCGAGATTAGTTTCAAAATACTAATCGAGATCCGAAGACTTGGAATTGTGTGATTTCTTCATCAAAAAATACTTACATAAACTGATAAACTGAACCGTATTCCATCAGCGACTATCTATTTTTGAACCTTTTATTTGTAGTTTTCATCTTCTGTAATTTTTTGATACTAAAATGTATAGTAAATCATATTTTTGTGTAAAACAAGGTTAATTAGCATTTGGAGCCTTAGAATCGATTCGATGGGTGTTAAAGCAAAAAAGAAGATGGTTAAAATCGGTTGCGTAACGCCATAATCCATTATTTATCCCATAATCCCTCATTACGCAAATGTTGACCTAAATGCTGGACCAAGTAAAAAAAAAAAAAAATGCTGGACCAAGTAATGATTTTGATGTCTCGTTTTTACTCGGCCGACATAAGCGAAGCCTACAATCAATTGGACTACATTACTTTGGGCCACCAGCAAAAGCCCAAAGACCATATTTGACTGAAATCAGCGAATTATCTCTGATGATGAAAATAAGATTAGTTTTGGTTTCGTTCAGTTAAAAATTTTGGTTTTTCCTAATTTTAGTCAAAAAGAAATTGCACACTTTCTAATCAACCGAATAATAAACAAAACCAACAAATTCAAAATAGACATAGGGATGTGGGAACCTAGAAACGCGAAAGGTTGGGATTACGAAATAGTGTAGACAACAACATAAAATAAATCGATAAAATTAAAGTTTGATTAATTATCCACATGGTAGCCAATAGGAAAATGTGTGGAGTGAGTTTGAGAAAATCCATGTGGTAACTCTCAAAATATGCTTTTTCTTCATCTTTTAAGTTGGGAATTCAAGAACTAACCAAACATGCGTCTCCTAGTCACTGGTTATAGTGGTCGGTGTTGTCGCCTATTGGCTTCATTATATAACTAATCTTCTTTTCTCTTTATAATAAGATTAATCAATACTTCAATTCATATACCGTACTTTGGCTTGCTATTCAGTTTTTCTAACCTTGTTTATTCATCCCGATCTCTTCTACCCAAATTTAGTTTAATTTCAACCTACGCAATGATCAAAGTAGATTTAGTCAAATATAAATGACTTAATTAGTAGAATATAAATCCCCCCAAAATGTAACAACTACCGGATAGTACTAATTACCATTCGATGGACTATTCAGCCTAAACGTGTGGAGCATCTTCTAGTCGTAATATGATTTGAAAACCAAGCATATTAAGAATATGAAACCATAGTAAAATTTGAATGGATCTTATAATCACACTTGGAAAACTTCTTACTTCGTGGAACTAATCAAGATACCATCGATGCTACGGCTCGACTTATTGACTGTACGACTACACTTATCGACAATAGCTAAAGCTACACACATACGTCGTATGTAGCTTATGGTATTATTATGTTTGTCATAGCTAAAGCTAAATATCTAATTAACTGATACAACAACAAAAAAACATTTATATCTTATCTGAAAAATGTAAAATCCAAAGCATTAGCAATAGACTTCTATGATTATATCTGAAAGGTGTCGATTCTCTTATTTTAATTAATTTTTATAGAAAAAAAACTAACAATATTCATTGCTCTGCACACCAGCTTGAAGATCCCTAGACACAAATTTTATTGCAAATAAATTACATATTTTGCATCTAAGGAACTAAACTGATACAAACTAATTCTTCATCTTAGTAGAGCTTCTGACTTCATCTTTTATTGGAATAAATTACAAAATTATGATTACACGATAGACTCAAAAAGAAAAGAAAAAATGGATGAACCGTAGCAATAAAGTCTAAGGTAGAATAACAAGGCATCTGTTAATCACCACATAATACAAGAGCAAGCCAGTTCATGCCTGTCTTGGAACCTGTCGATAACAAAACGAAAACAAGAAATGACAAAAAAAAAATTAAACAAAAAAGAATTAATAAGTAGAGACTAACTAATTGATGAAAGATCTCTTGAAGATTTCATAAGATCATATTAATTGAAGGGGGACGAAAGAGAGAGAGGGAGAGGAAACCCTAATGCCAAATCGGTTGACACTGACGAGAAATGTTTATGTGATCAAGAGAAGAGAGATGGAGTATATCTTTCCAGTGTTTCGTTTGCCAAGGAACTCGATAAACTAATTTACTGCGCAACTATATAAAGTTACTAGAAATTTTCCTTTAAAAAGAAGGCATGCATACTACTGCTGTAGACATAAACAACTCATTGTAGACTTTCATCTTTCTTTAATATTCTAATATGTAACCATTTGACAATACATATATAGATGTGTTAAGTTTTGATTTATGAACATGAGTAAAAAAAACTCGTAATATAGTTTTTGATTCAAATGTAAAAAACCTCGTCAAATCACATAACTTCCGTTACAGAAAGTCAAAAACGAAAGTCTTAAAAAAACCATGTTCATTTACTACTGCACAAACCGACACTCATCAATTAAATTGATATTCTCTTTCTCTCACGAAATATGGTACTATTATATTTACGATGTTCTCTAAGATATATGGGTTGTAGCAGACAATTTAGGACTTTACCCCAGTTAGGTTCCATCTCATTTCTTATTTTCAACACCGAAGTGAGGAGAGAGAGAGAGAGAGAGAGAGAGAGAGAGAGAGCAGAAAAAGAATTTGAGATTAGAAAATTAGCTCAAAAACAAACAATGTAATGAAACTATTCACGAGAAAGCCCTTTTAGAAAAGGAAAAAAAAAAACTATTCACGAGGAACTCGATCAGCAACAAAACAAACAAACAATACAAAAATAAATAAAAGAATAAAGAATTTAAGATTGAAATATTACCAGGAAATAAGCTTCACCATGTTGTAAGCTATGCATCAGATAACCAAACTCATCAGTAGGAAGAGGAACACCTGAGGAATGCACCAAAACCAAATCTTCTCCAAACATTGCTTTCGTGTCTATTCCTCCTCTCGTCACTTCTGTCGGAACTCCGTTTATAAACACCGTTAGTGCCCCTGAATTTCAAAAAATATCTTAAATAAAATTGAAGGAAAATTAGAGTAACTATTAAGGACAAGATTAGGCAATATTGGGGGAACAATAACCTAATACTCCACAAAGTCAGTTTTTTCGTTGAAACTAATCTGAAGTTTGATATTTTCCCCACTCCAAAACAACTTTTATAATATAAGTTGTGAGATCTATAAAGGTTTGTCCTAGGAAAAAAAACCTCAGTTTATATGAAAAAAAAAAGATTAGAGTACTTGCTCTCAAGTACAAAATGTTAGGCAAAATTGGAAATATATAACCAAAAAGCTATTATTAATTAAATCATGTTCTTTGGTTAAAACCCACCCAGAATTGGAATTTTGTTTCCCCTACATTTTAAAACAACTTTCCAACTATTTAAATATTAGTTTTTGAGACTTTTTGGGGAAAGAAAGAGGGTTTAGAGGACAAAGCACTAGAGTTTACAAAGAAAAAAGAGCCATGCAAATAATTTGTTCTTGTTTACCTTGTTGGTAGTGATAATTGGAGCTTTGATACATTATGGTTCCCAAATTTGGTCCATTTGATGTTCCTCCCTTGGATTGAGACCGTTTCACTCATGTTTGTCCTCATAGTTCACTCATGTTTGTCCTCTAGCTTATACTCATCCATGTTTGGGTAAGTATGGGTCCATCTAGTTCATCTTATACACTACAAGTGAGTTTCCACAATGTGGAGTCACAGAGGTACATTTCGGACTCCTTACCTCTTCCGGTTCCCAAATTAGGTCCATTTGATGTTCCTCCCTTGGATTGAGACCGTTTCACTCATGTTTGTCCTCATAGTCATGTGTAGAACCTATTAATCCATGTTTGGGTAAGTATGGGTCCATCTAGTATCTATCATTAGTATCATCCTTAGTTCATCTTATACACTACAAGTGAGTTTCCACAATGTGGAGTCACAGAGGTACATTTCGGACTCCTTACCTCTTCCGGTTCCCAAATTGGTCCATTTGATGTTCCTCCCTTGGATTGAGACCGTTTCACTCATGTTTGTCCTCATAGTCATGTTAGAACCTATTAATCCATGTTTGGGTAAGTATGGGTCCATCTAGTTCATCTTATACACTACAAGTGAGTTTCCACAATGTGGAGTCACAGAGGTACATTTCGGACTCCTTACCTCTTCCGGTTCCCAAATTTGGTCCATTTGATGTTCCTCCCTTGGATTGAGACCGTTTCACTCATGTTTGTCCTCATAGTCATGTGTAGAACCTATTAATCCATGTTTGGGTAAGTATGGGTCCATCTAGTTCATCTTATACACTACAAGTGAGTTTCCACAATGTGGAGTCACAGAGGTACATTTCGGACTCCTTACCTCTTCCGGTTCCCAAATTAGGTCCATTTGATGTTCCTCCCTTGGATTGAGACCGTTTCACTCATGTTTGTCCTCATAGTCATGTGTAGAACCTATTAATCCATGTTTGGGTAAGTATGGGTCCATCTAGTTCATCTTATACACTACAAGTGAGTTTCCACAATGTGGAGTCACAGAGGTACATTTCGGACTCCTTACCTCTTCCGGTTCCCAAATTTGGTCCATTTGATGTTCCTCCCTTGGATTGAGACCGTTTCACTCATGTTTGTCCTCATAGTCATGTGAGAACCTATTAATCCATGTTTGGGTAAGTATGGGTCCATCTAGTTCATCTTATACACTACAAGTGAGTTTCCACAATGTGGAGTCACAGAGGTACATTTCGGACTCCTTACCTCTTCCGGTTCCCAAATTTGGTCCATTTGATGTTCCTCCCTTGGATTGAGACCGTTTCACTCATGTTTGTCCTCATAGTCATGTGAGAACCTATTAATCCATGTTTGGGTAAGTATGGGTCCATCTAGTTCATCTTATACACTACAAGTGAGTTTCCACAATGTGGAGTCACAGAGGTACATTTCGGACTCCTTACCTCTTCCGGTTCCCAAATTGGTCCATTTGATGTTCCTCCCTTGGATTGAGACCGTTTCACTCATGTTTGTCCTCATAGTCATGTGTAGAACCTATTAATCCATGTTTGGGTAAGTATGGGTCCATCTAGTTCATCTTATACACTACAAGTGAGTTTCCACAATGTGGAGTCACAGAGGTACATTTCGGACTCCTTACCTCTTCCGGTTCCCAAATTTGGTCCATTTGATGTTCCTCCCTTGGATTGAGACCGTTTCACTCATGTTTGTCCTCATAGTCATGTGTAGAACCTATTAATCCATGTTTGGGTAAGTATGGGTCCATCTAGTTCATCTTATACACTACAAGTGAGTTTCCACAATGTGGAGTCACAGAGGTACATTTCGGACTCCTTACCTCTTCCGGTTCCCAAATTTGGTCCATTTGATGTTCCTCCCTTGGATTGAGACCGTTTCACTCATGTTTGTCCTCATAGTCATGTGTAGAACCTATTAATCCATGTTTGGGTAAGTATGGGTCCATCTAGTTCATCTTATACACTACAAGTGAGTTTCCACAATGTGGAGTCACAGAGGTACATTTCGGACTCCTTACCTCTTCCGGTTCCCAAATTTGGTCCATTTGATGTTCCTCCCTTGGATTGAGACCGTTTCACTCATGTTTGTCCTCATAGTCATGTGAGAACCTATTAATCCATGTTTGGGTAAGTATGGGTCCATCTAGTTCATCTTTTAGAGTTTCATGCAACAGAGACGCCCAAAAAGATTTTTTTTGTCCTTTCCACAAAAAAAAATCAAAATGTTTTTCTTTGTCACTAAGTTTTGAACACTTCTGAAAATGAATACAATTTTTCTGAATATAAAGATCTAACAAATAAATAAGAAAAGAGTAATAAAGAAGGGATACAAACCAGAGGTCAAGAAGAAACTGTGCAATAAATTATTTTCTATGACGTTAAAGCAAACATGGCTTACAGTGGGCTAGCTACTCGATTTTTATTTTGTGCGTGCAAAATATTATTATATATAATGGGTATCATATATTTTCTTAAATAAATTTGACAGTTAAGATTTAATTGTGATCTTCCTGTAAATTTATATTCTATTGTCTTGTTTGTTATATTCCTATGGGAAAACTGAATTTTATTTTTATTTCGTTTATATATATATAGCCTGTTTTTGATAATATCAGAAATTTGTTCAAGACTCCAAGAGTCCAAGAACGATTCTAAATATATATATATGGCGGAAGGTATCATAAACAAGTAAAAAATAAGGAGAAATAGATATTTAGTCTCTCAAGGGCACCCTTCTTGGTATTGAGTCCAGATTTCTGATCAAGCATCTAATATATTTCGAATAAATAAAAGAGAATGTAGTTTTCTGAGCAAATGTTTCTTAAATTAAAGTCATTTTCTTCTTAACACAGTCTAGCCACTAAGAGTTCAATGCAACTAAATGGAACCAAACATCTCATCTTGTCCTTTTACAAAAAAAAAAAAAAAAAAAAAAAAAAAAAAACATCTCATGTTGTCTTATTGGATCTTGGAGTTTGTCAATTACCACTCTCAAGTGAATGAGTCACATAATCCATCCATTGCTCATAAATACGTTGCTCTTTCCCGATTAGTAATTATGTCATACAATAACGATTGTGAGAACATAGACTTACACATATGCATGCACATATATTAGAGACAAACTTGAAATTGTAAAAAAAAATAGATATGTGAATTAGTGTGTATTCAGTGTACAATTGATGCGTGCGTGGGAATGGGGTGTATATTCAGTGTACAACGTACGATTTTCTAATGGATCAAAATATTTTCCATATATTTATCGTTAGGGAGAATGTATTTAACTTAAAATGGCAAATAAAATAGTCCGTACATAGGTGAGTGTGCGAATACGTATGCAAAAGGTAGAGTGTAGAAAGACAGTAGGAGACAACTTGCTTCTTCAGATGCCTTCTGTTTTTGCCTGTCTTTGTATAGCTGTTTTGGTAGTTTTCCTTTTTTAACGTTTACTATACAACATAGATAATTACGCAAAAAAATAAAATGCCTATTTCTTTTCTGTTTTTATTGTAGTTTTCGGGGATTGACACTCAAACTTTCCAAATCAGATTAAAATAATGAAATAATTGGACCGTTCAATTACCGCAACCCGTATCCATATATACTTTTGCTCTCTTTTGGTGAAAACCTTCTTATGTGTTTTCACTTTTAAGATGATGAAGAAAAGTAATTAATTAGCCGTAGATAGGATAAGAAAAAGATATATAATAAAGATCGATCTGTCAGGAAAGTCATAGGAAAAAAAAATGCATTATTAAAAAAAAGGACAAAGAACTGAGGAAGTTATTGAAGACAAGCAATACCCAGTTGCATCAAATCGACCTGATCAGTCAGAGAAACCTTTTCATATCTTCAGAAACTCCACCCCTTAACATAACTAATCAAATAAATTTAAACATTGTAAAATCGACAAAAATAAATTAAACGTTATAAGCAAACATACTCAATAATTTTACGGTTAATCGAGAAAACATTTTAACAAAAACTTGATTATGATTAGAACTCATCAGGTTTCGAATGGAGGTAGACGTGGCTACAGTAGGAGATGTGGCTTAAGTAGTACGTAATTGCATGTGATTACTATTTATAAAAAGGTTGTCTTACAATTGTTTTTTTCTTTCTTCTTTTGAAACTGGCATTAGTTGGTTCTTGTTGCTTTTTTTTTGTTATATAAAGATTCTTGTTGTATTTGCTCCATTTCTATTATGCATATTTCCTACAAATTATTTTGAAAGCAATGAAAAAAAAACTATATATGCGATACTATCTAAACAAGCGACCACAGAGGAAATGACATCATATATATGCCCACAGAACAGTTCGATAAACATATAATTTTCTGTTTGTTATATAAATGCTAATTGGCATCTTCTATCAAGTTGATATTAAAAAACATATTTTAGTTTTTCTCCCGTAAATTTAATATTTTGAAGAAAAGATGTTCTATACGCTCATATTATACTTCCTCTGTCCACTATATAAGCTGTTTAAGATTAAATACAAAATCCAAGAAATTTAATTTTTAAAAATAAAGTATTATTTAATATATAAATAAAATATAATTCAACCAATCATGAAAAAAAACTATAAAATATTATTGGACACACAACATTCAATAAAGTAAAAAGTGCATTGGTTTTAGAAAACGGTTTATAATTTGGAACAAAAGTTTTTTTCAAAACAACTTATAATATAAGACAGAGGAAGTATGAAAGTAGATTCAGATTGAAGGGACACCGACCATGTGGTTATGCTTTTAGGGCACAAGTGTGAGTCTCTTTCCTTTGTTTAGCAACGTGTGAATAATACTTTGTCTTTCACCCGCCCACATAAAATTCACTTTTTTGGTTAGTGTCCACGCCCGAAAAAAAACCTTTGCTACTAAAGTGAAAATTGTCTATAGATACTTACTCCTTTGGAAACATGCAATTATTACGGTTGGATGTTTAATGTACTAGTAATACTACTTTAATATCAGAATATATATTTTACTAGTTAATTTATATGTTTCGGTATTGCTCCAATTTTGTTGGATATATCTTCGGGGAGACTGTATAATTCATCTACCTACACATGATCGATTCAATATTATTTTTTTAAGTTACATTGTTCTAAGTTTAGTCCATCTATGTTGTCAGAAAACTCTCTACGCGATAACAAATCCATTCGGAATTAATTATTAAAATCTTTAATTAGTTAAGAATATAATAGAGTGACTAGAGAGTCTATAGGAGATGGACTAAAAGAAAGGGGGAATAACGAGAAAAACCCTAGCTAGTTTAGCATGTAGGCGATCTCTGTGGTCCTGGAATTCTCAAATCCTGTAAGACTTCGAGACTTTGTATCGTCTTATCAAAGATATGTGGTCCTGCTCTGTAACATGTACGGACATACACACTTACATGATATGTACTGTGTCCTTGTGTAGGAGATCATAGATTCAGATGATTACGTAATTAACAATATCACTATATCTACATCGGTTTTTGTATTCTTATAACCTTCGAGACTTATGTATTCTCTAGGTCCAAATGAAAATACTCTAGGTCATATATACTTGTCTCTGATCGGTAAAGTAACTTTTAGGATGGACATAAAATAACATGTGTGTGTGTATACATGGAGAGTATACTTTTTTAAGATATTACTTTATTTCCAGGACCATAATCTTTTTTAATGAATATTACTTCTATTTTAAAACCCTTATATTTTAAGAAATAGCCATACGGTCCTACCCATCTAACATGTCATGTCTCCTTAATCTAGCCTTGTCCAGAAATTTTCCAGATTTTCATTTTAACCAAAACATATAGAAAACGAGGAATACGATAACATTTTATACTCTAAGGAAAAAAAAGGAGCTAATCACAGATAAATCACAATTACAAGTTTTTAATCAACTTTAAACCTCGTTTTTTTTTTAAATATCATAATTCATCAAAGTACTCTTAAGTCTTAGGTACATATAGAGTTGAGATTTGTGGATTTGTCCAGTGAACTTGAAGCAGTTATGTAATGTAAACATTTAGAAAGGAAAACACTAGGAAAAGGACAAAAAGAAAAGGAAAAAAGGAAGCGAACAAAAAAACAATATAAGTAGAACACTAATTATTTATTAATAATTACATGCATGTATCCTGACAAAAACCTAAAATCAATCATCTATTCACCTCTCTCTTTTCCCTACTTTAAAGAGTGCAAACAAACATATTTCCCTCATCTGTTAATTTTTTGTGAAGATAAATTTGTTTTAAAGGATGTCGACAACCTTATGGATAATTTCTCATACAATTATCTTCTCGCATATTTATATTAAATTTAAGTTTATTATAAGTTTATCTACTATAAAACAAAATTAGATTAGTTAGTGTTGGTAGTTCAATCGGATTAATCACTTGACCATCCGAAAAAGAGTGTTAAACAAATTTTCGAGTTCAAGCAGTGGCAATATAATTGAGATGAATTGACTGCTTTGATCTCAGATCCAAGAAAAAATTTGGTCTAGATTCGGATTTTCTTGAAGATATATAAAGTTACTTAAGATTCATCTTAAAATATTTGCCACCAAGAAAATTAAAGATCATGATTTTTTCTCTTCTGTTCATGCCTTATCTACCAATAAGGTAAAACTGCTATATGTTTAACTAAAAATGCTAAATAACATAGGGTCTTTAGTTTGGAGCAGACAACGTCGCTTAACTTTCCATTAACAAGAACATATATGGGTTTGGTGAAAAACACATACCAAAGATACGGCGCAACTGATTTTAAAATCAAAATTCCGTAGATCTTTTATGTTTAAAAAAGGTTTAATCCTTGAGTTGTTTCAACTTTCAAGTGACTCTGATGTGTCCCGCACTCGAATGCTTCGCCATCACAAAATGAGCCAAAAGGCTAAAGCTCTAATCTTTTAATTTTATAATTAAAACTGTGTAGTGATCAGGCAATAGCTAGGCAGATTCATGCATTTATTATATGTGTTCAGGTCATTCGAAATTTTAATTACTAGCTCAAGTTATAATTAATCATCATTAGCCGGCACTATGTTTGGCCTTTTTTCCGACAAATGGCAATGTTGTTGTGAAAAGGACATGTGAACTAAACAAAGACAACATCTTTCCTAATGTCACACACAAGCAGAAAACATCACTATCCATTTTTAATTATTACTATCATTGTGAGTAGTTCTACTTAAACTCTAGTTAGTTATGACCATTTTTTGCTACTTATGTACGCGTGTGTATGTGTCTATTAAAGGGAATATTAGAGATACTTTACAGCACTTTATTTTCTCTAACTATATAATAATGCCCATAAAAGGAGAGACGAGAGAGAGTCGAATTTGAAGTCCTCTTTTCTTATTTGTATATTGTTATGTGTTACGGCCTTAGCAAGACTTATTTGTCGGATCGAAACTTTATTGTTTAGACACTAGTATCTCTCTAAATTTACAATATTATTATAAAATAGGTACCACTATTATCCAAACTACTCGGTCTCTACATATAATATGAATTTTTTAAAAATTTACATAACCAAGGCCCGGTAGCTAGCATTATTGTTTAGAGCTCTTCACTATTCTCTAAATTAGACTTTTCTCTAAATTAGACTATTGGAGTTTGAAGTTCGCTATAACAATGCCAATAGATCGCCTATGCTTTGTGTTCCTGGTTTACATATGCGCATTACATATTTTCACATTGGCGCTTTTATTAATAGAAGAGAATTGTCATCTTTGGGATCCCATATGAGATAAATTTTATTTAATTCCTCGAGTATCGAATCAACGTTTAGGTTTGATTTCCTTTTAATATTATTGTTTCACTTAAAAGCTTTATCGTGTTCCATTTTATCGAACATTGATATTTGAATATTACGAGTTCATAGGGCATTGTCGTCGATTATATCATGATAAAGTCAACCCTGAGAAATAAGAAAAGAAGCATGAGCTCAACGAATTCTGTTCATATTTACTTTTTGGGTCCGTTCCAAAAAGATTTGTTCATATAGGGTTGTGATGAGGCCGATTAATAAAGGCAAAAACAAACTAATGAGGCCCATTAAAGATTGTGTTTAGTTACGTAATTTTTGGCCCATAATTCGTATGCAAGCTAACGACACTGACATTTATTAGTGGAAATTGTACATATTTTATTTCAAAGGAAATCAAAGACCAAAACTCAAATACATCACAATTCACCCAAATTTGAACCACCATCAAATATGGTTATTTATCAACATAATCGATAAAGAAAACAAAAACAACAATCAAGAATCAGATCTTTTTTTTTTTTTTTTTTTTTTTTTTAAGTTAATTGTCGTTGAATGCCCAACAATTCGTCCTGATCTCACCGTCTTCACCGGTAAAGACACCAACGGCTCCCAACTTCACCATTGCGATTGCAAACTGGCGTTTGAATAAGTCGTTGTCGGCTGCATACTGAGCCACCACACTAGAAGTAGCTTCGTCGGTTGCGAGCCGCTGGTCAAGTTGCAAAACTCCTCTCTTCAAACGGATTTGCCCAAAGAAGGCGTTATCAAAAGTCAACGGCGTTGACCGGTCTAATCCCGTTGATGGGTTCGCTGAGGCCGCACATATGGTGGTTAGGCTGTATATATAAAGAGCTTTCATTACTTGATTGTTAAGTATTTAAGTGCTTTACTTAATTAAACCATAAAGGTGTTACAGTAATTAATTCGCATAATTTAAAAGAAATGGTCTAACTTACTTTGAAACCAAACCGGAGTCCATGGATGGGTCGGGCTGTTCGGTTCCGTTAAAATTCGTGAGCCGATCTTTGAATAGATCACAAGAACCCACACCAACCGTGTGTGCACCCAAAAGAGCAACCGCATCGAACGTGTTCAACAATTTGTCCCCAAAGAACTTGAGAAACGCAGCAACAGAGGCGGTTGGTCCGATAAGGTCGAAAACGCCGTCTCCATTCGTTTTTAAGCCATCGCGCCGCCCCGTGGGAATGTTGTAGCTCGGACCTCCAGCTAAGGCCACCGAGTCACGTGTGGCGATGGCGATTATGTCAGCGCAAGAGACGTTGGAGGGACATTGAGCCTCAAGCGTGGCCTTGATCTTGTCGATCAGGTTGAAGCCTCTCACGCTCAAGTTTGGACCGACTCTTTCCGTTGTCGAATCTGTTGAGTTTATGAGGATAGAACCGTCGCAGCCCTAAGAGATATAATACATGCAATTACTTTAAACATAATCAATCGGGATATAATATCCTTTTTTATTTTGAACAACATTAATTGATAGGTTTTGTAGTTTTTAATTATGCATGTCTTAACCAAAACCTAATTTCTATAACGATAGTTTTTTTTTTCTTTTTAAGTTAGTTTGTTTGTGTTGTCTCATTTTTATGTTTCTGACGTTTTCACACCGAAATTACAATGGAGTCTACATAGCATTAGCATAATGCTTCTTAAGGTTTTTAAAACTTGAATATATAGATGTTCGATGAGATCCATACCCCAACAAAACAGTCGTGAAAATGCATCCGAAGCAATGCGGCTGTAATCGTGGGGTCAGTCTTGAACTCATCGCTCATTAGCTTTTGAACGATAGATTCTGCGTTAGGGCATGTGTTGTTATAAAACCCAACTTTAAGCTGAGCAAACGTAACTGGAAAAATGAAGAGATTTAAGAGTAGGACAGAAAAAATTACAATCTTCATCTTTGTTTTGTAGGAAGGTTTACAATATAAGTGTTATTTGTTGTGGAATATGTATTATAAGAGCTTTGGGATCAACCATATATATACCCCAAAATCGACCATACAATATTTTTTTATATATATATAGAAGGAAGAAGTTACATACGTGTGAGTTAAATTTATTTAAATTTTAGCGATGTACATTCATAAACGCAAAGGGAAACATTCCGTTGCCTTATGGAATTTTTAATAAACGGTATATGTTGGAATTTGATTTAGCTAAGTAGATAACAATTTTTAAACACAAAAGTAGATATCAACTGTCAATAGATTTTTTTGTTTATTTTGTATAGTCGGTGAGATGTATGTTTCAACCAAGTAGTTTAAATTCTATATCATATTTGGTCAAAAAACAAATAAATATTCACTGTAAAATTAATGTGATCTACAAACTTGGGATGTAGTCAACTGAGTAACTACTAAGTATGGTACATATCCATAGGTAGTTAGATGCTTCGATTATGAAGTAATGAAAAATCAAGAAATAAAACATATATTTTAAATTAGTAAGCTAAATGGGACATCGAGACTATAATATTGGTTTACTCTACACTACTAGTTTTATAACTTTAATTTTGCCCCTTTAACTTTTCTAGAGAGGCAAGACTAATTCCGTATGGTTCCGAAAGTTACAGACTACTATCTCTTAATATGTTTTTTTTAACTCAAGTTAATTAACACAAAATGATAGGAGGTATAAATAAACTGAAGGATTGATTTCATCTTAAAATGCACATACCAATTTGTTTTATATAACTTCAAATATATATAACCCAATATACCATTTAACAAAAAAATTCCACTATCTGATTACATATATAGAGCAAGATGGGGTTAGTTTAATGTATAGAATGACTCATTCCTACTTTCTTTAATTAGTGTCCTCAAAAGACAACAACAACAACAAAAACTAACCTTTTTTGTCATCTAAATTTTATTGAATCAATGTCATTAAGCTTTAGTTCAACAAACAAATTACCAATGTCCAAGAACTAAAGTAGATTTCATAGTAAATCACTAAATTGTGTGAATATATAGTAGTTGCAAAAATGATCCCCTTTAAAGTAAAACAAGTACGGAAGTTCTTTATAAAAAAAAAAAAAACTACGGGAGTTGGGTGGATGTGGTTTTTTGTTCCTTTGTTTGTCTTAAGTTGTTATTTTCGTTATTATACTAAACTCAGCTTCAACTTTTGCTAAGTTTTAATTTGGTCGTGTCTCGTGTGTATACCGGAAATGGTCCTTTTGTCTGTTACTTCTTGCTCAAGTTAACGATTTCATCCAGCTTTTTATCATCGGTCGCCTATAAATCAATTTGGAATCCGGTCAACTCAAAAGATCCAAATTTCTCGACCTCTCTCTCTCTCTATATATATATATTATTATTTTTTAATAGGAAATAAAGCATGAAAAACAAAACAAAGTTTACGAACACTCAGAAATTAGTTTCGACTAAAGTCAACTCATGTACATTAACAATCAACTCAAGTGTGGTTCCAACATAACATATTGTTGTTATCAAATCCATTCACCAAACCTTATTTTAAAGATATACATACATATAATTATAAACAATCAACCACCACTCACAATTCATCGAAGAAAAAACAATTCAGGAAGATCAGATTTGGAAGCAAGTTAAAAGAGCTTTAGTTGAATGCCCTACAATTCTTCCTGATCTCACCGGCTGTACCGGTCAGCACGTCAATGGCTCCCATCTTCACCATTGCGATACCAAACTGGCGTTTGAATAGTTCGTTGTTGCTCGCGTACTGAAACACAACACCGGAAGTGGCTGGGTCGGTCGCAAGCAGATGGTCAAGTAGCAAAACTCCTTTCCTCTCTCTGATCTGAGCGAAGAACAAGTTGTCGAATGAGAATGGCGCTAATGGCGTTGACTGGTCCAGCGCCGCAAATTGGCTGCCTCCCGCCGAACATGTATTCCTTAGCCTATTATAAGAAATGGAGTATTACATGAGTATTCTTCTTCACTTAATAAATTAATATACATATTTAAATATATGATACGACAGTAAAATTCGTAATCTACTGATTTGTAATTCGTAAATTACCTGGCAGCCAAACCGAGGTCCATGGTGGGGTCAGGCTGTCCGGTTCCTTGGAAATTGTTGAGCCGGTCCACAAAATTACCACAAAAACCGTTGCCAACCGTGTGTGCACCCAAAAGAGCCACCCCATCGAAAACGTTAAGCCCTTTATTTGCAAAGAACGTTACCATATCTGGGACGGGGAGGGCTGGTCCGGGGAGGATCCTTTCGGCGTCTAGTTTGTTCGACACAAAGCCATCACGTCGTCCCGTAGGGACCTTGTAGCTCGGTCCTCCACCTAACAAGACGGAGTCACGTGTGGCGAGCGTGATTATGTCGGAGCACGAGACCGTGTTCGGACATTGAGCCTCGAGAGCGGTCTTGATCTCGTCCATCAGATCGAACCCTCTCACGCTGCCGTTTGGGCCTGCGGTTTTTTCCGTATCTTGATTCGTCGTCGATGGGTCTATGAGGAGAGAAGCGTCGCAGCCCTAAGAGATTCCAAAAAAAAAAAACTTAGAAATACATAATACAAATTTATATTATTTTCAAATTTAATGTTATTTCCAGGAAAAAGCGTATGGTTTTCAAGCATTATTCAATATTTTGAAAATCAGGTTATTTGTATCTTATTCTGAAAGGTTTTGCTGGTTTTTGTATTTAACGGTTGTATTTTAATGGAATCATGGTTAACTATTAAAACTATGAGAGATTATTCATTCTCATCTAGTTTTCTTTGTTTATGTCGTCTTTGATAAATACAAATATTACTTTTAAAATGGATATTTGAAGAGATTTATACCTGAACAAAACAGTCGTGAAAATGCATCCGAGTCAAAGCGGCTGTGATTGAGGGGTCACGACCAAACCGTGCGCTAACCAGGCCCTGTACGATAGTCTCTGCATTAGGGCATGATTGGCTGTAAAACCCGATTTTTAGCTGCCCGAATGCGACCGGGAAAATAAAGAAAATCAGGAGAAGAACTGAAAACTTAGCAAACTTCATATTGTTTTTTGTGTGTAGAAAGTGTTGCGATTGTAATAGAGCTAATTCTTGTGTGGTATGGCTTATCAGACCTCTGAGATCAACCACTACTATATATACGCCAAAACAGACCGTGGTTATAAAGAAACTTAATTAAAGAGGTATATGTCGAATAGGTCAGTCAAATTTAGTTAAATTAAGAGAGCAAAAACTATACAATAAACCCAAACGCATACGTATACGTACTACTTTGAAACATTCCGCAGCCTTGTTGTATACTTAATCATTTCTATACGATACATATGCTGAGAAAATGAAATGGATACAATCTTAACCTTTCTTAACTAATTGTAGGTTTACAGTATATAGATCGATACCTAATTGATGCATTTACTTGACTAGTATAAAATCATATGGTGCTGGCAGGTTTTGTAATTATTTGTATTTTCATTCAACATATATACACCAATTAACAAAGGAAGCAAGGAAATCAAAGTTTATTTCTGTAAGTAAATTCTATGAGGCTTTTGTTTTCTCTTAATCTACTTGTTGCACGAGTTAGGTGTTTTGATTTTTTCTTGAGTAATACGAGATAGACTATAGTTTTAGACAATCTTGTTATGTTTGATTTAATATTAGTCAACGACACAAAACAGTCGAGTTTAAACGCGTAAGGTATAACTAGTGTACTAAGAAGAAAATTAACGAGCCATCATCCGATTAAATTTAAATCAACATGGATTTAGTTTATGCAACGCAGAGACTCGTTCAAAACTTCCTCTTGTTTTGTTCAAATGAAAAGAGATCATGAAAAATTCAAAAATAATTGACTTGAAGAAAGCAACCTTGGGGTTGAGGATATTATTATACGGTATTTTCACTATAAGACCAAAGCATATTTCGTGGAGATTTGTGTAAAGAACTTGTCAATTCATTGCCAAAAACCAAAAACATATTGTGACATGTGCATTAATTACATATATTAGATAAAGTTTCAAAAGTATAGTCTTTCTTATATTTAATGGAAATTTACTTTTCTGTTAAAGAGTCTCCCTAGAAATAATATAATTTGGGCATATGAGAAATGGTACTATGGTTATGTCCTCAGTTCGCATCCTCGACGGTATGTCTCTCAAAAACTTTCATTTGCCACGTGAACCAATCAAATTTCCCATGTTTTGAAGACATGATATTAACGTTGCTCTTTGATACATTGGGCTAGGCCGAGTTATAATTTATCCAACGGACCCGGGCCAACCTCATCAAATCTGACCCGACTGATCCAGAGAATCCGGTTTTGTTTTCGGTCCAAAGAAACCCGAAGTTAAGTTGCAAATTTCAAAGCTCATCTAAATGTTTATTGTTTGTTTGCCCAAAGTATTTTATTTTGATGAAATCCATATGAAAACAAACAAGAGGAAAATAGTTTTTTACATAATAAATACCGTTGGAGAAAACATATCTGACAACGACCTATGCGAGGCAATGTGGAAACAGTGTTTTAAATTTTATCTCTTACTGTGAGAAACAAATTCTGCTAACTATGTATTTCATCAACAACAAAAAACAAATACATGAAGAAAAGTTACAAGGCAGGCTTTATCGTTATTCAACTGTATTTATTTCCATATCCTTTTAAAAATTAAAAAAACGAATATCTTTCTGTCGATGCAAGAAACACGAAAACAAAGCAACGTTCATTTCTGCAGAGAGCAGGGCAAGTAAGCAAACTAAAAGTGTAGCAAGTTGCCATATTTCATATTTTTATTAACCATCGACAAAAAGGTACTATCATGAATAATAGTAATTAATAAAGAGGTTAAGAAAAAGTGATGGGTAATGCCAAATCATCGAGATTCTCTGATGTTCTTGTTCCGATCGAAGATCTTTGTTCAAATTCTCGACCGACTAATTTGTTGTTTGCTTTAGATGAAAGCTTCTCCCATTATGGCAATGAGAATGATTTTTAAAATGATATAGCCAAGAGCAGTTTAATTACTCGTCTGGTGAAACATCAAATACTTAACTTATATCATGCATACCTAATTTTTTTGTTATTAAATTCAGTTTAATTCACCCATACATTAATACATATCACTAAAAACACGCCAGCTGTATGATAAAAGCTGGTCCGATTCAAGTACTGGATTTAGAAGTACAACATTTTGATAAGAATATAAAGATTCGTAATTAACAAAGTACTTCCAAACTTTCACTGAAAATTATAATAGAAATAGAAGGCAATACGTACTTACTTGTAGACATGAAAGATATGTAAATGATCAAATTTTGTGCCGTGCACGTGCGCGTATTGGAACACGATCTAACGGCCTCTGATTGTATACAGTATATGGGTACTACACTTTTTTTTATGTCAGTATTATAAACAAAAGTACATCCAGAAATAGACAGAAAAATAGAGGCGCATTTTGTGTGAGGGAGAAACAAAAGAAAATTCATGCAATTAACCGTTCGAGTTCGTACAACTGCAAATTAAATACTAATGCAATTTGCATTTATGAAAGACTCCATTTCCAAATACATGAATAATATTTTACCTGCCATGCAAGCAAACATTTCATGTTCGCATGATCAAGAAACATTTTTGTTAAAGTTTTATAATTATCATAAGAAATCAGGTTTTTATTGATAAAGAATCAACACATAAGAAATATGGCAATAATTAAGAAAAATAATGCATATACACAATTACACACACAAAAAAAAAATTACTGCAAATATATCATGACATGTAGTAAATAGTTTGTCTTGTTTTTGTTGTATAAATGATGTTAACTGAAACGTACAACTTGGCTCAACTGAAAATCAAAAATCACGTTTATGTTTTTACATGCATAAAAGTAAGGTTTTAAATTCGGTGAGATTACGTTAATTACTGCATTATGTAAGGGATGTAAGCAATGTATCAGTTCATTAATTAATTTGAACGTTATAAGTTTATAACTCTATAAACACGGTTTGACAAGAGAACAATTTGTCATTTTGTTCATGTTGCAACGGGAACTCTCTGCCTAATGTAAGTTGTTAGATCTAAGCAAATATCACTTCATTAATTAACATGGAACGTTATGAAACTGTAAACACGGTTTTAACAACAAACCACTTTGTCATTTTGTTCATGTTTCAACGGGGGAGCTATTTTGTTTGAAATACATACAAGAAACCTTTATGAATTAGATTTACAACAAATAAAAACACACGACTTTTTAGAAAAATAAATTGCTACATATTACGATTTCGTTTGTGAATTAATATGATTCCACTTACCAGCATTAAGCACGGTGTTCAGAAATCAGAATTACTTAAACTGATTTTAATTTAAAACAAATATAATTAGATTCGTCCTCCTGTGTTAAATCACGTGGCAAATTATCTTACGTGTCTTTGCTGACGTGTCCTAACTCTGCCTCCAACTCCTTTTTAAACACTTCACTCTCGAGCGTCGAACACAAACAGTGCTTTCACTCTCTCTCTAGGAAAAAAATTCAAATTTTCATTTCTCTCTCTCTGAAAAGAAACTGAACAGTCGTCTTCATCTTCAATCGTAAGAGTAAAATCGCCAGTTACAGATTTCTGTGAGAAAGAAAAAATGGCGGACAATGTTTTGAGGAAGCTGATTGTAGAGATCTGCAGCGCAAGAAATCTGATGCCCAAGGATGGCCAAGGAACGGCGAGCGCTTACGCAATCGTCGATTTCGACGGCCAACGGCGACGGACGAAGACGAAATTCCGAGATCTGAATCCACAGTGGGACGAGAAGCTCGAGTTCTTCGTCCACGACGCAGCGACCATGGGTGAGGAGATCCTCGAGATCAATCTCTGCAACGATAAGAAGACCGGAAAGAGGAGCACATTTCTCGGGAAAGTTAAGATCGCCGGAAACGCCTTCGCGGCGGCCGGATCTGAAACTCTTGTTTATTACCCCCTTGAGAAGAGGAGCGTCTTCTCTCAAATCAAAGGTGAGATCGGATTAAAGGCGTATTACGTCGATGAGAATCCACCGGCGCCGCCAGCAGCGACGGAGCAGAAACCTGAGACCGCCCCGGCAGTGGAAGAGAAGGCGCCGGAGAATCCGAAAGCAGAGGAGGGGAAGAAAGAAGCAGAGGCGGCGAAAACAGAGGAGAAGAAGGAAGGAGATAAGAAAGAGGAGGAGAAGCCCAAGGAAGAAGCCAAAGCGGAGGATAAGAAAACCGATGCGGCAGCTCCACCTCCACCGGAGACCACCGCGAAGCCGCCAGAGGCTGCCGCAACTCCTCCTCCTCCGGCAGAGATTCAGAATCCGCCTCTGCCTCAGAAGATAGAAACGGTGAAGCAGAAAGAATTAGGAATTAAACCGGAGAATGTAAACCGGCAAGATCTAATCGGAACAGATCTCGAGCTGCCTTCGCTAACCAGAGATCAGAACCGTGGTGGTGGATACGATCTCGTTGATCGAATGCCGTTTCTATACATCCGCGTTGCCAAAGCGAAGCGAGCGAATAACAACGGCGGGAGCAATCCGATTTACGCGAAGCTCGTGATCGGAACAAATGGAGTGAAAACCAGAAGCCAAACCGGTAAAGATTGGGATCAAGTGTTTGCATTCGAGAAGGAGAGCTTAAACTCGAGCTCGCTTGAAGTTTCCGTTTGGACGGAAGAAAAAGTCGAGAAGGAAGATAAAACGACGACGACGACGGAGAGTTGTTTAGGAACGGTGTCGTTTGATCTTCAGGAGGTTCCTAAGCGAGTGCCTCCGGATAGTCCTCTGGCTCCTCAATGGTACACATTGGAATCGGAGAAATCGCCGGGGAATGACGTCATGCTAGCCGTATGGCTCGGGACCCAAGCCGACGAAGCATTCCAAGAGGCTTGGCAATCGGATTCCGGCGGATTGATTCCGGAGACCCGATCTAAGGTTTACTTGTCTCCGAAGCTCTGGTATTTGCGTCTAACGGTCATACAAACCCAAGATTTGCAGCTAGCTTCGGGACCCGAACCTAAGTCAAAGATGCCCACCACTGAGCTTTATGTGAAAGCTCAGCTGGGTCCTCAAGTCTTCAAAACGGCTAGGACTTCGATCGGACCATCCGCTTCTTCATCCGGATCCGGTAACCCGACTTGGAACGAGGATCTAGTTTTCGTAGCTTCCGAGCCGTTTGAGCCGTTTTTGATAGTGACCGTGGAAGACTTAACGAACGGGCAGTCAATTGGTCAGACCAAGATACACATGGGAAGCGTCGAGAGGAGAAACGATGACCGGATTGAACCGAAATCCAGGTGGTTTAATCTCGCCGGCGACGAGAATAAACCCTACTCCGGGAGAATCCACGTGAAAGTCTGTCTTGAAGGTGGGTATCACGTGCTGGACGAAGCAGCTCACGTGACTAGCGATGTCAGACCGTCCGCTAAACAATTAGCCAAGCCACCGATTGGTTTATTGGAAGTGGGTATCCGCGGAGCTACTAATTTACTTCCAGTGAAAACCAGAGACGGTACACGTGGCACCACCGATGCTTACGTGGTTGCTAAGTACGGACCGAAATGGGTTCGGACCCGGACGATTCTAGACCGGTTTAATCCACGGTGGAACGAGCAGTACACGTGGGATGTTTATGATCCGTGCACGGTCCTTACCATCGGCGTTTTCGACAACGGACGATACAAACGGGACGAATCCGGGAAGCCAGGAAGAGACGTACGGGTCGGGAAAATACGTGTACGTCTTTCAACTCTCGACATGAACCGGGTCTACCTAAACTCCTACACGTTAACCGTAATCCTGCCAAGTGGAGCCAAGAAAATGGGAGAGATCGAAATCGCGGTTCGGTTCTCTTGTCCGTCTTGGTTAAGCATTATTCAAGCTTATGTCACACCAATGCTCCCTAGGATGCACTACGTCCGCCCGCTCGGCCCGGCTCAACAAGACATTTTGCGTCACACGGCTATGCGTATCGTGACAGCACGGCTCGCGCGGTCTGAGCCGCCGTTGGGTCAAGAAGTGGTTCAGTACATGCTTGACACGGACAATCATGTGTGGAGCATGAGGAGAAGCAAGGCTAATTGGTTCCGTGTCATCACGTTCTTGTCACGTGCCGCGACTATAGCCCGTTGGGTTCACGGGATTCGAACTTGGGTCCACCCACCAACCACCGTTCTCGTTCACTTACTTCTCGTGGCCATCGTCTTGTGTCCGCATTTAGTCCTCCCAACCGTTTTCATGTACGCCTTCTTGATCGTAGCTCTACGGTTCCGTTGCCGTGGAAGAGTCAAAGTCAACAGCGTTGACCCACGCTTCTCTTGTGTTGACTCTGTCACACACGACGAGCTTGACGAGGAGTTTGATGGTTTCCCGGCGACGAGACCACCGGAGGTTGTTCGTGTAAGGTATGACCGGTTAAGGGCATTGGCCGGTCGGGCACAGACTTTACTTGGTGACATGGCAGCTCAAGGGGAGCGGATTGAAGCTTTGTTCAACTGGAGGGACCCACGAGCCACGTGTATATTCGTGGTCTTTTGTCTATTCGCGTCCTTCTTGTTTTACATAGTTCCGTTCAAAATCTTCGTGTTGGGTTACGGTTTTTACTACATTCGACATCCGAGGTTTAGAGACGATATGCCTTCAGTTCCGGTCAACTTTTTCCGGCGACTTCCTTCAATGTCCGATCAGATCCTGTGATTCGGTTATAGGGTAATAAACGTTTTTTGTTGTTCTTCTTCTTATCTATTTTGACTCGTGTAATCGTCTTATACATCTTCATTTATTATTTTCAAAGTAAAGGCAAGCTTTGTTTCTTAAATTGAAGAGGTGGGTCCGTGAGTGGACCTTAAGATTTCAACAACTCACCAATTGGTGGAAATTGGACCGTTATTGCTTTGTGGGGACAAGTATTTAATTAAGAAAATTAAAAGACATTCGTATTGAACTACTGGTTCATGGTTTAGGTAACAAAGTTAGTGTATATGACCGTTGCATCTTTGCAGGAGCGTTGCTCTAGGAAAAGGGAAAACTTAAACAATGACACGACAAATTGAAAAAAAAGAAAAAGAAAAGTATCATTCTTAATACGCTTTCAATCGTATTTTATGCTTTTCACATCAACGATTGGACAAAAGCTTATAACATGGAGTGTCACAATCTATATCCCACCCAACCAAAGCTTCTATCATTCTTATGATTTTGGAGTCCAAAACCAAATGAACATTATATATAATTTGTTTCTTATTTCCCTATGAATCACTAAAGAACAACCACAAAAGGAAATAAAAAATCAAGAAAGAATATGATCCACATGTTACTCATGACCACTTCCTATCTACATTGTCTCTTGACAAAGTTTCTTCTCAACATAAGTCTCATTAACAAACTCTTCAACCTTCTAGCCCCTGGACCAGGACCAGGTTCGGGTTTCGACCCACGCTTCCGTTTGTTTCTCAGAAGCTCGCGGTCTATCCTGTTTAGAACCGGGTCATTGCTCTTGAACTTCCTTGCAAACGGTCGGTTGCTCATTATCATCTTTCTGTAGTCCCTTGAACCTAGAGTCTTAGGGTGTTGCTTTGGAGGGTTGTCCCACGCGATGTAGTGGAGGTCGTGGTTCACGGTCGTGTTCTTGAACTCATCCGAGTTGCAAATGAGTGTCTGAAAATAGCCTTCCGGAGATGATACGAAATTGGTGTAGTAGAGAAGGAGTGTTCTTGGTAAGTTGTCATAACCTATTATGCAATATTCCGAAAACGGTCTTGAAAGGATCGTCCAAGCAGAACCTGAAATATTTTACATGTCACGCAGTAGTATCATTTTCCTACATCTCTTTAAGGAATATTTTTTTTTTCGGCATAATTTTTGTTTTCGTCAATTCTGAATATAAACATTTATGTCGACATTAAACATATCAGGTTATATGTCTCACTCCACTCATATCAATCCTTAGAAAGTTAGACGCAACAAATTTCTTCATCCGGAGGATTAAATACTATGTCAGATTCGAGATGACGCTTGTACTAAATGAAAGAAGACTTTTGAAAGAGAGGACGTCAAAAGTTGGTACGAATGTTAGTGATTCTAATCACAAAACATCAATTAAAAAGTTTATTTTGTGTGTGTGTGTCTTTCTGTTCGTTAAGTAACAGTAATAATTAGAAGCGAGAGAAAAACCTGTGAAGAGCTTGAAAGAAGTAGGGAGGCTTCGCTGTTTGATAACCCACCAAATCTCTGACTTGTTGAGGCTGTAAAGCCCTGGATCTATTATTATTGGTTTCCCTCTTTTGTTCCTATACATTTGTATCATCATATTATCAACTTTTTTTTTACTATAGTATTTTATACTTCTCTCGTAATCTTTCCTTACCAAACCAATATAAAATAGTTTATTTTGGTTGATAAAATATGTAGAAAAAGCTAAAAACTTACATTTTCCATCCTAACCGGCTTGTGTGCTGAATGAAGTTGAGATCTCTAGGCATCTCAGAAAAAGCATAGATCAGATCTGCATTTATTTATTAAATTAACAAATAAAAAACTACACCACCATATCTACACGCCATTATCAATTTATAAATAAAAAACTTGGGTTACGTTGAAAACTAAGAAACATATGGAACCTATCTTAACCAGTGCACATTCATGCATCACACAAACCGATCCTAACCATTGCATTCTTATCAGGACTACAAACTCCAAATAAAGAAACATAGTCTTTAAATAGAAAGCCGGTTAATGTCGTGAGAACTACGGCATAATACGATCATAACCGGTTCATTCATATATATCACACAAATCAAGATCCCATCTTAAATCGGCTGAATGTAAAATTTTCCAGAGAAAGATTGTCAAGTTTTGTGAACCATTGAGATCAGTGTATAAGCAAATAAAAGGTAACACTCACCGTACCGTCTTGTGTAACGAGAGGATAATCAGAAGCACTAATATTGATGAACCAATCCCACCGACAACACCTCAAGAGCAAAGCCATTGCGTGAAGCGTCGTCGCGAGCATCGTTGGTCCTCTATAAGTCACCAGGTTCGGTTTTCCGACCATCATCACATTGCCCTCCGTCTGAAACAGAGGCTCTCCGGCGACAAACCGGGCCATCTCCAAATGCTCCTCCTCGGGCGCTTCGAGGTCTAGATGGATCAGGTAATGGTTTCTGCGGTGGTAGAGAGATCGGAGGAGGCGTTTGAGTTTTCCGACGTCGCCTTTGGAGGCGGAGATTAGGTAGGCGAAACAGGGGAGGGTAAAGTTGAGGTTTTGGTTGGACTCGAGGGGTAGAATGGGGATTTTGGAGGAAGTGAATAGAGTTGTGGTTGTGGGGATGAAGTAGAGGAAGGAGAAGAGGAGAGATGTTAGAGAGAAGGAGATCATCAACATTTTCTTCATCGACATTTTTGTCTCCCTCTGTAAGATTTTCTTGGAATCTCTTTGGACAAGAGAAGAGGAGAGAGAGAGAGAGTTGTGTGGTTTAATGTCAGTTTAGTTTGTGGAATCACAAAGAGGCCCTTTTATTTCCTTTTCTATATGTTATGGCCCGTAAATTTTAAAAATGTGTTTGAAAGCACCCAAAATTTCCATAAACATTACTATAAACTCTATAGTAAACTTTATACTCAAAATAGTCATAATTTTAAAATTGGCACCAGCAGATATGGTACCAATAGTTTGAAACATGATTGTTACCAAACTTGACATAAACATTAATCAATCCAAACCCAACAAATTACGGAGAACCCTAATAAAACTTGTATTTTACTTCTTTTTGTGTATGACAAATGAAACTACATCCCTTTCTAGTTCATTACTCAAAAGAACAATAACTACATTTACTAAACATGTAAAATCTGTTTTTGTAAAACAGATAAAGATAGAAATATAATGATTATAAGGTTCAGACAAATCGAGAGTAAAAGGGTTGTAATTGTAAGATTTGGGTTCCTTGCTTTCAAGCTAAGTTCTCCATCTGTCTTATTTCTCACATTCTTTCACATGTTTTAGATCTTCAAACTAGCACTCACGTGAAGCTAACTTACAATATTATCCTTATTCTAGAAGCTAAGATTTGGAATTTAACGGGATATATTTGTAAATAGGGTCATTGATCGGATAAATGAAAATGCAGTTGGTGGATAATGTCAAAATACAATGTACGATTATGGTTTATTTTGTTCTTAATTAAATATTTCAAGATGTCAATCTAGAACCGTAGAACCGAGTATCTTATTACATATACTCTGGTTTGTTCGGGTTTGGTTAACCGGAGAAAATACTTTCTGAGTTCTCACTTCTCACCAAACGAAAGATGAATTAACTTGTTTCTCAGTCCGATAGAGATGATATAAGGCCCATGTACTTCATTGGTTTCTTAAGAGTCAAGAAGAATTAATGGACCTTGTCAAAGATACCAACAGAACCAATTATTTTGAGATGATTATTCGTCAAAATGATGATCATTTATTTGACAAATAGATGAATTTTTGCCTTGTATGGCAAAGTCAAAAGGTATCACAAATTCACAATAACCATCTATGCGTATTTTATAACTTCAGTTTTGGAAGTGTATTGACATGAAAATCGTTTAAAGTCATAGCATCATCCACGTTTCATAAGAATGGTTAAACTCTGGATCTAAGAATTTCATACCACAGTACAGTATCATCTATGTATATACATATATAATATAAAGTAAATAAAAGTTCACACATAATTATTGTCAAATCAGGAATGTTTGAGTTGGTAACTATCAGGAATTCCACTTTAGTTACCTAATTCGCCTTTTTGTTTTTTGGTTTAGGTATTGATTTTGTATGTTTCCGAAATATCGGAGTAAGCAATCCATCTTGACCAACCTCACCATCACAACGGCTACAACAATTTGGAAACTATTTGCGTTTTGTTCCGAAATTTCTTAGTCATAATATTAAAGAAAAGGAGAAGTATTTATCGTATCAACTATCAAGCCGTGAATGATAATATTTACATTTTCATACTTATCCTCTCACGCCAAAAAGTATCAACAAAAGGCATAAAGGCAAGAACAAATTATATAAAGTTGAGTGACTGACTAAATGACATCGGCAAAATCATACTTCTATTAATTGGATTTTAAAAAGTTGAGAGAGACAATAGTATAGGCAGGAAACTGAGAACGTATTTGTTAAAGCAAATTGAGAACGCATAGTATATCTATAGCTATAATTTTTTTTTTTTTATTTGGATCAACTCATCGATTACTAATAATACAATTTGGAGTACCTTTGCTACGGTGATAAGCAGTAGGTAGCCAAGATGAACCTACATGTATCAGTACTACCAAAATTTAAACCTAACAAATAAATAAAAAACAATTTAACGAGTTTGTAAAACGTATTTCCATAATTCGTGGAGTATAATTCTTGCTTCCAACAATAACTTGAATAATCTCATAGAATATCAGGAAGGAAACTTTATAAAAAGTAAAAAGTCAAAACAACAATAAGTGTAGGTTAGTTTAAAGGTGGAGTAAGTCAAAGTATAATGAAATAAAGTATGTGTATTAAATATTCGTAATCAACACATCAATAAAAGGACAGAACCTATTGATAAGATTTATGTATATACACACACACACATATATATATACAGCGAATGATGATTGATGATTGAAGATGGTTAAGTGGAACTTGGGTTCCAAAGGAACTCTCGTGGCAATAACAACGAAGCTATGTCTACACCAACAAGCAACATCCCTGCCTCTCGCGTGCAGATTCAAGAACCGAGAACAAGATCTCCACTTCCTCCTCTGTCTTCTCCAATCGCCTTCAAGGTCTCTCTCTCTCTCTCTCTCTCTCTCTCTTGAATCAAGAACCATGAGACTCTTTTCTTGATCTCTGTATCTTCTCTGATCCTCTCTCTATCTATCCTCTACTTCATCTCTTTCTTTGGGTTCTCTTCTCTGTTTCTCGTTGACTTTCATACCTGTTTCTTGACTTAAGAACAAGAACTAGATTTTCTTCTCTTTCTTCCTGTATCTCCATGGTGCTTTTTACTTGTACTCTCTCTCACATTAACTAGCCTCGAAATTATTCATTTGAGGAGACACAAATTTATTCTCCATTTTATTTTGCAGGAACAACAAGGTAGACCAGCTCAAGCTTCACAACAAACAATAGCCGGAAAACTTTCAAGAAATCTCTTCAAGGGTCTTCTCTTCTCACAACTAACCTTAACCTCACTTCTCGTGATCGTTCTCACCATTCGTGGTCTCATCTTAGCAAGCTCACACCATTTCCACCCTAAGAAATGGTATCCTCCTTTACTAGCATCTATTGGTGTCTCAGGAGTTGCATCTTTGGCTTGGCAGTGCATCTTTATCCACAATCCATCAAGAGCAGTCAAAGCAACGTTCTGGCTTAGCCCCATACTCACCTGCTCTGTAGGGATCTTGCTTGTTCTGATTGGCTCAGCGGTAGATGCAGGGATCGGCGCAGTGTTTGTGCTTTTCGCCATCACTCAGTCTCTCTACGGTTGCTGGATCACTCCGAGGTTTGAATACACGGACAAGATCTTATCACTTTCCACAGCTTTTCCACCTGCAAGAACCAGAGAAGTAGTTTGTTTATCAATCGTTATTAGCGTCGTCTACTCTGATTTCTTGGTGGCTGGAATCGGAGGAGCAACGTCCACAAGAACAAATCTTGATCTCTTGTTCATTTCCGTGATCTTGATAAGCTTTGCATGGACGATGCAAGTTCTCAAGAACGTACAGCAAGTTGCGGTTTCTAGAGCAAGATACGTAAACTTTGCATATGGTGAAGATATGGACGCTTGGGATGGTTTTCGAGTCTCTGTGAAACACTTGATTGGGAGCATCTGCATTGGCTCGACGCTTGTTCCAATCATCTTACTCATCAGAGGAACGATCAGAAGTGTTAACCTAATGTCAGGGAGCAGCGATGAGGTCATGTATACAGGTGGTGATTGCTTCTCTTCCATTGCCAACAAGATGATCACATGTGGGAACAGATGGGGCTTTGTACACGTGGGAAGTTATGACAAAGGGTTCGTGGAGGCTTCGAGTGATACATGGAAGAAGTTCAGAAGCAGGGTTGGGTTAGAGAAAGTGATTGATTCGGATCTCACAAGCTCCTTCTGCTTCCTCAGTGCGGTTTCTGTTGGAGCAGTGTCTTCATTGACTTCAGGAATATGGGCGTTGTTGATACATAAGGACTATGCATTGGAAGTGACTCTCTATGCTTTCATAATTGGATATTTCTTGGTAAGATAAGCTAATTCAAAGGCACTTATTACACAAAGTGGCTTATGTTGTGTAACATGTTTTTGTGTTTCTTTTATTCTTTCTAGGGAAGAGTAGGTTTGGCTTGGATACAAGGCTGTGTCTTGGCTTACTATGTAGCTTATTCTGAAGATCCTGAGAGCATGAGGTTTGATGGTACAATTCAAAATCGTATTCAGCGTCTTCAAATGTTAAGTGCTCGCCGAGATAACAACATGGAGCTTGGGGTGGGCAGAGAGAGAGAAGATGGTGATGATAGTTGAGTCTTGGATAAGATTCGTTACAAACATGTAAATGCATGCAAAACAAGGATTAGTACTTTTATTTTTTATTTCCTTCAAGCTTATTAGATTCTACTGATAGAAATAGATTCAACATTTTCATATGTATACTCGTTCACATATAGCATTTTTATAACATTGTATGGTGATAAAAAATTTGGATGAGAAATCAAAAATGAAAAAAACTTGTATACATGAATAGAACAAGTTCATCAAAACAAAAAGAGGAAATATATGGTATGAGAGAGAGAGAGAGAGCACATTTGGAATGTCCGGTTTATCAATTTGGTAAAATAACCGGTTTGGTTTAAAATCCCGACACAAGTAGGTACGCCTGAGAGTGAAAAGTAACACAGTCACAGAGAGACGCTCCCGCGTCTACAAAGAACGGATAAAGTCTCTCTCTTTCTTCTCTCGTTTTCGGTGTGTCTCGAAGAAGAAGAAGAAGAAGATGCTGACGAGTCCAAGTAACGCGCTTTGCAGTAGCCCACACTTCTGGCCTATTCGCCGGAGCAGACTTTTCCCTTCCCGGAATTTCTCTCGTTACCACCACTCCGGCGGAGGTAAATTGTGCTCGCTCTCTCTTCCCTCCGCAAGAAGCGGCGCGAGTCGATTGAGTGTCAGAGCTCTAGTTAGGCCAGATGATGTTTCCGATGACGCTGACTCCGTCGGCGGCGATGGGACTCTGGCTTTTCCTAACCACATTTCCGTCAAAATTCCTTTCGGAAATAGAGAGGTAAAGTCTCTTCAAAACACCAATTCCCATTTGCTTCATCTGTCGAAGTTTGATTCTGAGCTGATTGGTTTCGTAAATTGATAGAATTGGTAGCATTTGAGACAGACCCTTAAGCAAAGCTCGCTGCTTTATTAGTTTCTTATCACTAAAACTCTTAACTTTTCCTTTGTTTCTGTATAGATTTTAGTCGAGACCGGCCTTATGGGGAGGCAAGCAAGTTCTGCAGTTACAGTGACGGATGGAGAAACTGTAAGTCTGCTTCTTTCAAATGCCAAAGCTTTAAACTTTTTTCTTACTTCTGTGAGACTGGTGTTTTCTCCATCTAATTTTGACTGTGTCTACTTGTGACTGTAGATTGTGTACACATCTGTTTGTCTAGCTGAAGTCCCTAGTGAGCCATCGGATTTCCTTCCCCTTTATGTCCACTATCAGGAACGATTCTCAGCTGTAGGTCGAACTAGGTAAGCGTGTTTGCAATCTTGGAGTCTCTTGCTACAAGATGATAGACTAAATGGTGATGTAAATGGAACTTGTTTGTTATGGTACAGCGGTGGGTTTTTTAAGCGAGAAGGGAGAACCAAAGATCACGAGGTATTTACTAATGCTAAATGATGTTTTGTTTCTTCTATCTCTCCTTCATCCCTCTGAACATGTTTCTGCAGGTTCTGATTTGTAGGTTGATTGATAGACCTCTACGCCCCACTATGCCCAAAGGTTTCTATCACGAAACTCAGATATTATCCTGGGTATGCTCCTTTCTTCGTGGATTTGTTTACTTGTGTTCTCTGTATGATGGCAGCTCTTGTTTTTGTGTGGCTACTGACTTTTTTATGAAAATGACTTTCATTTTTGTTACTACTTAACAATGTACGAAGATGAATGTAATTGATCGTTGCTTGTTTGTGGCTTCAGGTTTTGAGCTACGATGGATTACATGCACCTGATGCTTTGGCTGTTACATCTGCTGGAATAGCTGTGTATGTAGGGTCATCTTTCGTTTTTATATGAGTGATCCTTTTCTTTTTTTTGGCGACATTGACATGGCTTTGTAATGAATGTACCACAGAGCTCTTTCAGAAGTACCAAACTCAAAGGCAATTGCAGCAGTTCGGGTCGGTCTTATTGGGGGCGAGTTTATCGTCAATCCAACAGTGAAGGAGATGGAAGAATCACAGCTAGATTTGTTTATAGCTGGAACAGATACTGCCATTTTGACGATAGAGGTCAAGTACTTATCTTTACCTGATTTTGCAAGATTTGCTAATTTTCCCCTTGGTCTGTTTTACTTTTTTACTTAGCCCTCGCTCATTGCAAATATCCGGTATTTCAGGGCTACAGTAATTTTCTTCCTGAGGAGATGCTGGTCCAAGCTGTAAAAGTTGGACAGGTATTTCATTTTCTAATCAAGATTATTCAATTATCTTAAATCTGGATTAGTTACTGAATGTGAAGCTTTTCATTTTTTTTTTTTTAAATCAGGATGCTGTACAGGCTACATGCATTGCTATTGAAGCGTTAGCAAAGAAACATGGAAAGGCCAAAATGTTTGACGCTATCAGATTACCACCTCCGGAGCTATACAAGCATGTGAAAGTATGTTATATACACCTTGTTTCTGTGTTGTTTTGCAAGAAGGGGTTTGCATTGATGTTAGCTCGTAAAATGAAATGCCAAATCAATTTTTTTCTGTACACAGGAACTTGCTGGTGAGGAATTGACCAAAGCGCTACAGATTAAGAGCAAAATACCAAGAAGGAAAGCAATATCGTCCCTGGAAGAAAAGGTCTTGACAATACTGACTGAGAAGGGATATGTCATCGATGAGGAAGCATTTGGAACCATAGAAGCACAACCGGAGTTATTGGAGGACGAAGACGAGGATGAGGAAGTTGTTCCTGAAGGTGAGGTGGACCAAGGTGATGTTCACATAAGGCCCATCCCTCGGAAACCTATCCCTTTAGTGAGTCTCTTAACCTTTTCCGACATTGTAGCTTGAAACTGAACTTTTCTTTTATTCAAGTTCTTTCTGTTATGCTAACAAGCTCGTAATTGCCCTTGCCTAGCTATTTTCTGAAGTTGATGTGAAGTTGGTCTTTAAAGAAGTATCGTCAAAGCTCCTACGGAGGCGAATTGTTGAGGTATACCATCGATTTTACGTCTATGCAATAAACCATCACTTTCTCGGATGCGAGTTTTATTGGCTTCATTTTACATCTCTTTCATTTCCTATCTTTTCCCATCCATAGGGTGGTAGAAGAAGTGATGGTCGAACTCTGGATGGAATTCGTCCAATTAACTCAAGATGTGGACTGCTTCCAAGAGCACATGGCAGTTCTCTTTTCACGCGTGGTGAAACGCAGGTAACAGAGGAATGTTGTCTTCGCGGGAATTCCCACGTGGCTAATTCATATGTCTGTTAAGGAAGTTGGCTATTCTCATGCTTTGGATAAGAAACATTAGTCTATGATTCTTTCAGGCACTGGCAGTTGTTACTCTTGGTGATAAACAGATGGCGCAGAGAATTGACAACCTTGAGGGTAATGATGAATACAAGAGGTTCTATCTTCAGGTCTCTTCAATACTTCATTCTTCTTTTCCCTCTGCTATTTTTATTTACAGGTTACTGTGAAGGGTTTTTTTTTACACCATTTATAGCATCTAACAGAAATATCTCAGTGCTTAGTCTGCTTTTCATTTTCTTGTCTAAACTACTCCTTGTGATGTTTCAGTACACTTTTCCTCCATCGTCTGTTGGTGAAGTTGGACGAATCGGAGCACCCAGTAGAAGAGAAGTAGGTCATGGGACACTAGCAGAGCGAGCATTGGAGACCATATTACCTAGTGATGATGATTTCCCTTACACAATACGTGTTGAAAGTACAATAACTGAAAGCAATGGTTCTTCAAGGTCAGTTCTCTTTTTTTTTTTGGGTGTAGGATCTTTACATGCCAAAGTTTGTTTGAATGAAAAGAATTTGTGTTTGCTTCTTATGTTGATCTGAAAATTTACCAGCATGGCCTCTGTTTGCGGTGGTTGCTTGGCTTTGCAAGATGCTGGAGTTCCAGTAAAATGCTCTGTTGCTGGCATAGCAATGGGAATGGTTTGGGATACTGAAGAACTTGGCGGTGATGGATCTCCTCTCATCCTTTCTGACATCACTGGAGCTGAAGATGCATCCGGTGATATGGACTTTAAGGTCAGAAAATTTAAAAATTCTCTTGAAAGTCCTTGCATTGACTTGAATGCTGACGTTTTGATTTGCTTGAGAATGTAGGTTGCTGGGAATGAAGACGGAGTTACTGCATTTCAGATGGACATTAAGGTTATTATCTGTTTCTTTATTCTTATTGCCAAAATGGTTTTTAATGGCAACAGATAAACTGTGGGTAACATAACTATGTTTTTTTTTCTCTTCACACTTAATCTTGAGCTAGGTAGGAGGAATCACATTACAAATCATGGAAAAGGCTCTGATACAGGCAAAAGCTGGGCGTCGCCATATTCTTGGTAAGGGATTTTTTAGATATGCATGGACTGCTCGTCTCGATAACTAGACTTTAGGAGATTTATGTCTAAATAGTGGAATGTTCATGGAACCGTTGAAGTTGCAATTTAGTAATTATTAGTCGTTCCATGCAGCTGAAATGGCAAAATGCTCACCGCCTCCTATGTTGAGTCTCTCAAAATACGCTCCGTTGATACTCATTATGAAGGTTTGGCTTTGACTCATTCTCCCGACATTGCCCAGTCTAATGCCTTGGTGTGTCGAACTAAAGATTTTCGGCATTTCATGTGCTGCAGGTCCATCCAAGCAAAGTATACTCTCTTATTGGTTCTGGTGGGAAGAAAGTTAAGAGCATTATTGAAGATTCCGGTGTTGAAGCCATTGATATGCAAGATGATGGAACTGTGAGTTTTGCAATGTTTTGTGTTCATTCTTGTTAAGGTATTCATCATCATAACCTTTTAACATTTTATTCTTGTCAAGGTCAAAATTATGGCAAACGATACGGCGAGCCTGGAAAGGGCGAAATCAATTATTAGTGGATTGACAATGGTTCCAGCTGTTGGTGATATCTATAGGTATGCATCCTTGATATACCTTACATGACCAAAGATGTGTAAATGAGTTTGGGTTCTGACCTTTCTTTCTTTATATATCAGGAATTGTGAAATCAAATCAATGGCTCCTTATGGTGCCTTTGTAGAGATTGCGCCTGGACGTGAGGGACTTTGCCATATCAG